GAATACGTCCGGAGTCAAGTGGGACCCATGGTACGCGCTTTGGACGAACAGGAAGGCGTTCAAACACATCTGTCACCACATGGATATGCATCGATTGCTGCGTCTCAAAAGACCAATTTACTTTCATTGTATCTTTGAGGGCAAACTGAGGAGAAGTGGGTTGATGCATATGGTCAGGTGTTGAGGTGGAAGGAGCTGAGTGACGAGATCTCATCTTCCTTTTTCCCCCGCGAAAACCTCTAGCAGTTTTCTTTTTTATTAATTGAAGTGTTCTACATCGTGCAAGAATTTCACTACTAAGGAGATAGCTATCAGCTAGAAGGTTACGCAGCTGGCGCAGTCTAGTAGATGAATAATGGAGGCAGGACATCTCTTTCAAGTTAAAATCTACTCAAAACAAATAAAACACTTTTATGGCTTGACTTGTCGCCGCACAGCGCTCCACATAGTGTCATTCGGAAACTAATTATCAAGCAATAAAAATTTGTGAGAAAACTCCTGATCATGCGCAAGTGTAGAGACTTCTGAACTATCCAATAAGCGAATCAAAAACCGGAAGCAATACATCGACAGCCTTGACTAATTTATATAAATTAAGAATGGAATAATTCTAATAAACCTAGCAATCCTCGAAGTAAACTACATTTCCACGTCCAGGAGACTTTGAGTAACAAACCTGTCCCAACTATTGAGGAATATTATCTGAAAAACACATTCCAAAAATGAAAAAATGAACAGAGATTTCACTGCTGCCTATCAAGCGCTAGTGAACCGGAAGTTTTAATTAATTTCCACTTAGCAGAATGTAAAAATGAGTAGGCTCAGTGTATAAACGTTCATATAATAACAAAAAATGCAATGATTTTAGAGGTTGCCTTTGTAATCTAAGCTTTCAACTAAGCCTTGCCCCAAGCAAGACTAAGATATGATGATGGTGGTTTACAGAAAGAAGACTAAGATGGATATGATGATGAACAGGTTGCCCCAAGCAAGACTAAGATATAATGAGGAACAGGTGGTATACATTTAAAAGCCTTAGATGGATATGATGATGAGCCGGTGATTTACATCTGATGGGGATTAGTAAGTAGGACGAAAGGCCACGGATCAGTCTGGATGGAAGGACGTTGCGCTGAAGCAACATTGACTAGTGCCACAGCTCGCACTGTGATTTCTTCTATAGCCCATGACTCATGAGTAGAGAATTTATTTGTGCATGCTTTAGTATATATGTATATATATATATATATATATACGTATACCGCTATATTTGTATATCGAAAGTTTTGATATATTGTTGAAATACAACATTGCAACACTATATTACAAAAAATATTTAAAAACAACGCCTACATGTTTATCTTTTACACTGTCACCATTTTAAAAAAATGGATGCATAAATATGAAAAGTAAAATGTTTTTTAAACAGTTTTTCTTCTTCCCCTAAGCAGCACAAAGATAAGAAACAGTTTGAGACATTATATTTTGACACCACTGTATTTCATCTAGAGAATGCTTTGTACTGATCAATGTATTGGTTCGCCCCTTTAGTTTTGCTGATTCCATCTCAGTGATTTTAAATTAATTATCTGTTGTTTAAAAACAAAATATATATATATTCAGTATTCTTGTTTTGTTCATGGCAAGGGCGTAGGAAGGGTGTGGGGGAGAGAGTTGTTAGTCCCGGACAGGACCTTTTTTTTTTATAATGAGGGGCGTCAAAAATCTAGGCCCGCCCCGGTTGGTTCTAGTCATAGCATGTCACAGATGCCCTACTTCTCATCATGTATCGTCCAGTACAGACGTCCATCTTGTCATCATGTGCCATAAAGCACAGACACCTTGCTTATCATATTATGGTGTGTTCAGTACTATGACCTTATAACATGTCGCACATTTCATAAAGCATTCATTGTGAGAGATTTAAAAAAAGAAAAAAAAACTAATTAATATCCACTCTCCAAACTTTTTATTTTGTGACCTCATGTCAACTCTACACCTTATGACTCAAACTCTCTGTCTTGTATTGCAACCACTCTCTATGTCTACACGCACCCTTTCTTTTGTTCATTTTGATCAGAGAAATAATGTTATCTTAATTAAACTGCCCGTTAACAAAATATAAGCGCACAAATCTTTGAACGATTTCCTAAAAAAATTCGAAATATCGCGCCATATTAACCACCCTACTTTATCTTGGACCGGAAAACAGTGTCTCACCTTCTCTACTACTTTCTCAAGGAACACAGTGTCTCACCTTCTCTATCACTTTCTCAAGGAACACATGATCTCACCTTCTCTACTACTTTCTCAAGGAACACAGTGTCTCACCTTCTCTATCACTTTCTCAATGAACACATGATCTCACCTTCTCTACTACTTTCTCAAGGAACACAGTGTCTCACCTTCTCTATCACTTTCTCAAGGAACACATGATCTCACCTTCTCTACTACTTTCTCAAGGAACACAGTGTCTCACCTTCTCTATCACTTTCTCAAGGAACACAGTGTCTCACCTTCTCTATCACTTTCTCAAGGAACACATGATCTCACCTTCTCTACTACTTTCTCAAGGAACACAGTGTCTCACCTTCTCTATCACTTTCTCAAGGAACACATGATCTCACCTTCTCTACTACTTTCTCAAGGAACACAGTGTCTCACCTTCTCTATCACTTTCTCAAGGAAACATGATCTCACCTTCTCTACTACTTTCTCAAGGAACACAGTGTCTCACCTTCTCTATCACTTTCTCAAGGAACACAGTGCCTCACCTTCTCTATCACTTTCTCAAAGAACACAGTGTCTCACCTTCTCTATGACTTCCTCAAGGAACACAAATTCTCACCTTCTCTATGACTTCCTCAAGGAACACACGATCTCACCTTCTCTACTACTTTCTCAAGGAACACATGATCTCACCTTCTCTACTACTTTCTCAATGAACACAGTGTCTCACCTTCTCTATGACTTCCTCAATGAACACATGATCTCACCTTCTCTACTACTTTCTCAAGGAACACAGTGTCTCACCCTCTCTATGACTTCCTCAAGGAACACATGATCTCACCTTCTCTATGACTTCCTCAAGGAACACACGATCTCACCTTCTCTACTACTTTCTCAAGGAACACACGATCTCACCTTCTCTATGACTTCCTCAAGGAACACACATTCTCACCTTCTCTATGACTTTCTCAAGGAACACACGATCTCACCTTCTCTACTACTTTCTCAAGGAACACATGATCTCACCTTCTCTATGACTTCCTCAAGGAACACACATTCTCACCTTCTCTATGACTTTCTCAAGGAACACACGATCTCACCTTCTCTATGACTTCCTCAAGGAACACACGATCTCACCTTCTCTAACACTTTCACAAAATTTTCTTTCATTTTTTTAACATTCACCATAAACAACGCTACGAGGTGAGCATAAAAATAAAAACACTTCAGTTTATTGACACAATTCTGTGGAATAAGAACAAAGATGCGACGTTTCTAGATACAGAGTGTTTCCTTTTCATCCGACCACACTGGTGTCGCTCGAGCGGGTGATTGACAGTGGGAATGTGAAGCAGACGAGATTACCAGAAATTGCTTGCAGCTTCCACATCACCACAAGGGAGATCTGAGGGAAACAGTTAGGTCATGGTGAGCAGTACAAACAAACAAGTCACGGTAAGCTGTACAAACAAAACAAGTCACGGTAAGCTGTACAAACAAAACAAGTCACGGTAAGCTGTACAAACAAACAAGTTACGGTAAGCTGTACAAACAAACAAGTCACGGTAAGCTGTACAAACAAACCAAATATCTCTACTTTCAGTAGCTGAACATTGAATACTACCGAGTCCAACACTTTAATTTATGACATTTGTAGGATATTTAAATATGTATGCATTGCGCCGATCAGGGGCCAACAACCTATTGTAGTTTTGTGCCCAAGTACGATTTCCTAGGAATTCAGGGTCCCAATAATGTATTGCAGGCGTGCAGAACTCAAAATGTAAGGCGGGCCGTCATACTTTATGAAAAACTTGTGCGGGCATGGGGGGAAAGCTATTAAGAAAATAATAATAAAAAAAGAATATTTCTTTACTACGCGGGACGTAAAGTGGGGGCTGGCGGGCCGCATGAGTCCCGCGGGCCGTATGCTGTGCAGGCCTGATCTATAGGTCTACCCAATGAAAAACACTATTTAGTCATGCATTATTATTTTTTGGTCTTCCACGCAGGGCCGTGCCGAGGAAGGGCGGTGCCAGGGGTTGAGCCTAAGAAAGGCGCCCATCAGTATATTGAAAAAAGTGTCACCCAGGCCGGTAAAGTAAAAATAAAGAACAACAGGTTTTTGCGCTCGTGGGATGGGATATTATGGTTAAATTCATTATGAAGGTCATATCTTAAGACAATTTCGCCCCCCCCTAACCTAATGGCGACACCCGGGGCGAGTGCCCCCTTCGCACGGCACTAATTCAGCGTGTCATTGTCAAACGCTCTGCGTGCAGTCTGACACGCGTGATATAGGTTGAAGACCCCCCCCCCACCCCCTGGTGTAGGATGCCACCTGAGTTTTTTTTCTTGTTCTACTTTTAAATATCCTTCAACATCAGTTTTAATGTTAATGTCTTTGACTTTAAAACTTAAGGCATAATGTGTGTGCCTGTCTTTCTGTGACTATTCCCTCTGATGTACACATTTAAGGCCTACTAATGTTATCTCCTTTGTGTTCTGCAACCGGCTCAAGAATAGCTGGGGCTTTTAATTTTTTTTTGAAAAAAAACACAAAAAAAACCAACAACTAATCTATAATTACATGAATCTACACTGACTACAGCTATGACACAAATACACACTGCCTGCAGCTATATATAATGACATAAATTCACACTGCCTGCATCTATATATAATGACATAAATTCACACTGCCTGCAGCTATATATAATGACATAAATTCACACTGCCTGCATCTATATATAATGACATAAATTCACACTGCCTGCAGCTATATTTAATGACATAAATTCACACTGCCTGCGGCTATATATAATGACATAAATTCACACTGCCTGCAGCTATATATAATGGCATAAATTCACGCTGCCTGCGGCTATATATAATGACATAAATTCACGCTGCCTGCGACTATAATGACACTAATCGACACTGCCTACAGCTATCATGAAATAAATCCATACTGCCTGCAGTTAGTAAAAATGGCCCCACATTCAAAAAGATTTTTCTATTGCTCATCCTGTTGATGTTAGTTCCCCACATATCCTATTGCTCATCCTGTTAGTGTTAGTTCCCCACATATCCCATTGCTCATCCTGTTGATGTTAGATCCCCACATATCCTATTGCTCATCCTGTTGCTGATAGTTCCCCACATATCCTATTGCTCATCTATGTTGAACCTTTTTTGGTTGTTTTGACTTTCAAATTTACCATCAGAAGATCATCTTCAGTTTACCCTAGAAAATCATCTTTAGTTTATCATAGAACATCATCGTTAGTTTTACCCTTGATTATCATCTTTAGTTATACCCTAGAAAACCAACTTTAGTTCTACCCCAGAACATCATCTTTAGTTTTACCCTGGAAAATTATCTTTATATTTACCCTTGAACATTATCTTTAGTTTTACCCTAGACCTAACCCTATAACTAGATTATCTTTAAATGTAAAAAAGGAATTGACCTTACTTAATATAGATACTACAAACTTGGTCACTCTCCAAATAAACATAGCTTTACACTAGAGCTAACCCTATTTCTAAAATAAATTATATTTAAATTAATCCTAGAATTTACCTTACATAATATAGATACTACATCATCTACTTGGTCACTCTCCAACTGACCTAGTTTTACTCTAGAAAAAATCTTTTAATTACCCTAGAGTTAATGTTTTATTTTCTGTCCATCACATTTATATTAAACCTTTATAGAATTAACCCTGGGATATGCAGAAATAAACCTAGTTTTTTTGTTTTTTTTAAAATATAGAATTAAGCTTGGGATCAGTGGCGTAGGGAAGGGGGTGCAAAGGTGGCGCTCCTCCCCAGCGGGTATTTTTTCTTTATATAGAGGAGCCGCATGTTCGGTAAAATGTTGAGAGTTTTCGCGGAAGAAGGTCGGAAAAATTTCTCTCGCCCAACCCTGGTTACGTTGTTGAATGGGATAAGTAGCACTAATCTTATAAGGTTAGTTCTATGTATTGTATTATAAGGTTAGTTCTATGTATTGTATTATAATACAATACATAGAACTAACCTTATAATACAAACATAGAACTAACCTTATAATACAATACATAAAACTAACCTTATAATACAATACATAGAACTAACCTTATAATACAATACATAGAACTAACCAATGATGTATAGAGCTTACCACAGGATAGGTGTTCAGAACTGGAAAAGATGACGTATACTTGTAGCTTTGACCCTTGACCAGAGGGCAGGCAATGCCGCTGTCCTTGCATCCATCTCCATTGGGCAGCGGGAACTCCACGGGGACAGTTTCTACGATGCCATACACTCTAGAGTCCAGGACGGTGGAGTCGTTAACTGAAAGGTAGAATTGGAGTCAAGGCTGGTGGAGTCATTAACTGACAGATATAATTGGAGTCAAGACTGGTGGAGTCGTTAACTGAAAGATAGAATTGGAGTCAAGAATGCTGGAGTCGTTAACTGAAAGATAGAATTGGAGTCAAGGCTATTGGAGTTGTTAACTGAAAGAAAGAATTGGAGTCAAGGCTGGTGGAGCCGATAACTGAAATATAAAATTGTAGTCAAGGGTGGTTGAGCCGATAACTGAAAGATAAAATTGGAGTTAGACTGGTAGAGTCTTTAAAGGTAGAATTGGAGTCCATGCTGGTGGAGTCGTTAACTGAAAGATAGAATTGGAGTTAGACTGGTGGAGGCATTATACTGAAAGGTAAAATTGAAGTCAAGGCTAGTGGAGTTGTTAACTGAAAGATATGATTGGAGTCAAGGCTGGTGGAGTCAAGTTAGTCTGTGTATGTCTTTTTGACTAGCACCCTGAGTTAGTCTCTGTATGTCTCTCTGACTAGCACCCCAAGTTAGTCTGTGTATGTCTCTCTGACTAGCACCCCAAGTTAGTCTGTGTATGTCTCTCTGACTAGCACCCCAAGTTAGTCTGTGTATGTCTTTCTGACTAGCACCCCAAGTTAGTCTGTGTATGTGTCTCTGACTAGCACCCCAAGTTAGTCTGTGTATGTCTCTCTGACTAGCACCCCAAGTTAGTCTGTGTATGTCTCTCTGACTAGCACCCCAAGTTAGTCTGTGTATGTCTCTCTGACTAGCACCCCAAGTTAGTCTGTGTATGTGTCTCTGACTAGCACCCCAAGTTAGTCTGTGTATGTCTCTCTGACTAGCACCCCAAGTTAGTCTGTGTATGTCTCTCTGAATAGCACCCCAAGTTAGTCTGTGTATGTCACTCTGACTAGCACCCCAAGTTAGTCTGTGTATGTGTCTCTGACTAGCACCCCAAGTTAGTCTGTGTATGTCTCTCTGACTAGCACCCCAATTTAGTCTGTGTATGTGTCTCTGACTAGCACCCCAAGTTAGTCTGTGTATGTCTCTCTGACTAGCACCCCAAGTTAGTCTGTGTATGTCTCTCTGACTAGCACCCCAAGTTAGTCTGTGTATGTCTCTCTGACTAGCACCCCAAGTTAGTCTGTGTATGTCTCTCTGACTAGCACCCCAAGTTAGTCTGTGTATGTCTCTCTGACTAGCACCCCAAGTTAGTCTGTGTATGTCTCTCTGACTAGCACCCCAAGTTAGTCTGTGTATGTCTCTCTGACTAGCACCCAAGGTTAGTCTGTGTATGTCTCTCTGACTAGCACCCTAAGTTAGTCTGTGTATGTCTCTCTGACTAGCACCCTAAGTTAGTCTGTGTATTTTTCTCTGACTAGCACCCCAAGTTAGTCTGTGGATGTCTCTCTGACTAGCACCCCAAGTAAGTCTGTGTATGTCTCTCTGACTAGCACCCCAAGTTAGTCTGTGTATGTCTCTCTGACTAGCTCCCCAAGTTAACCTTCCCCTGTTCCTCTGATAAGCCCCACCCAAATGAATGTGTGTCTATCATCATGAAATAGACAACCATAGAGTAAGACTGAAAGGGCCAGCTTGTTGTAAAATAATGTAAAAAGACCTTGGAGTTCATAGCATACTGTTGTAGTTCACTGACTACATTTGGAGTTCATTGCATACTGGTGTAGTTCACTGACTACATTTGGAGTTCATAGCATACTGTTGTAGTTCACTGACTACATTTGGAGTTCATTGCATACTGGTGTAGTTCACTGACTACATTTGGAGTTTATAGCATACTGTTGTAGTTCACTGACTACATTTGGAGTTCATAGCATACTGTTGTAGTTCACTGACTACGTTTTGGAGTTCATAAACATAGTGTTGTAGTTCACTGACTACATTTTGGAGTTCATAGCATAATGTTGCAGTTCGCTGACTACATTTTGGAGTTCATAGCATAATGTTGCAGTTCACTGACTACATTTTGGAGTTCATAGCATAGTGTTGCAGTTCACTGACTACATTTTGGAGTTCATAGCATAATGTTGCAGTTCACTGACTACATTTTGGAGTTCATAGCATAATGTTGCAGTTCACCGACTACATTTTGGAGTTCATAGCATAATGTTGCAGTTCACTGACTACATTTTGGAGTTCATAGCATAGTGTTGCAGTTCACTGACTACATTTTGTAGTTCATAGCATAGTGTTGTAGTTCACTGACTACATTTTGTAGTTCATAGCATAGTGTTGCAGTTCACTGACTACATATGGAGTTCATAGCATAGTGTTGTAGTTCACTGACTACATTTTGGAGTTCATAGCATAATGTTGCTGTTCACTGACTACCCTCTACAATTAGGTCGTCATCATCATGTGCTCTAGGCTCGAGGCCATGGTGAGAAATATGCACACACTCCGCCCTTGGTATGTGCATGGTTTTTGGCTGTTGTTGAAGGTAGTTAAATCGTAGAACAATTTGAGAACTTGGCCAATTTTTTCTTCTGGACTTAGTTGATTGTTTATAGTGGCGTCACAGAGGTTTTGCCACTGGCTTCAAAGGAGCACCGCCGGAATGATTCAATGTAATGTAAGATACTGGCTAAATAGGTAAATAATTTACTTAGTTTTTCTAGGACTAAAAATTAATTTCCAAAGTAAAGTAAGCCAAATCGACACTGTAGTAATTAGTAGCATGGGTCGATAGTGTACGCGTCCTGTCACTAGTTACATGTAGGTGGTTGATTCAACATGTAGATGCTCGGCCTGGACAAGTGTTACATTCTACCTATTGATAGCTCGCACTTTAGCTTTAAACTAGGGTTTCTCCAGAGGGATTCCGGGATCCCTCTAGATTTTTACAGTAAAAACAGACTTCCCGGGAAATCCTCCCATCCCGGGATAATAACAAGGAATTCCAGATACAAACTTTAAAAATACAAGTCACAAATCGTCACTATTTTTTGCTATATACTATAAGTCAGGTCCTGTACAATCTAGTTAACTGCGCTGAATTGTTAAGCTCACTAGCTCAAGAACACAGGTCCTCAAGCTTTTTTTTTTTTTTTAAAGTCCAGAACAAATTCCTATAGAAGCAAAGTGACACCACGATATATTTGAAATAGAATGATTTTCAAAGTAAAATTTGGTAATGAACACATGTCAGAATTTGATTTTTATGTCAAATATAATGTCACTTAAGGAAATCATGTTTAATGCCATGATTGAAGTTGTAACTTCGTTTTAATTAGGGAACCTCAGCATCCTTTTTGATTCATCAATAGACAAAATCAATGAAGCAGTTACATAAGAAAAATTGTAAAGTTTAATTTAATTTACAATATATATTTTTAGTTTAATTAATTTTATCCCTAGGATTTCCAACGAGGCTGGGTTGACTTTTGTCCCGATCCCTGGGATAAGCAAAAACCCGGGAAATGAGAACACCTGCGTCATGTGTTAATCTCTTCAATTTGAGCACCGCTTAGCATATAATGTATGTGGCCGTCTCATGAAGTCTTGTGAAATATGTTCGATCAAATTTAGTTTTGGGGCGGTTTTAAACTGTAACATAAACTTTACTTTCTAACTCAACACACAAGTTATAACACTACTTACTAATGACTCAACGTCTGACATCTACTCGTTGTTCAATTTATGTCGCAATCTTTATATTTATATAAAATGTTTGCTGAATTTTTTAACCACAAAAATTGGGTAAATGGGTACTGTCAATGGGGAGCTAGGCAAGTGGGAATTGACTATGGTGAGCTAGGCAAATGGACACTGTCAATGGGGAGCTAGGCAAATGGGTACTGTCAATGGCGAGCTAGGAAAATGGGTACTTTCAATGGGGAGCTAGGCAAATGACTTCTGTCAATGGACAGCTAGGCAAATGGACACTGTCAATGGGGAGCTAGGCAAATGGACACTGTCAATGGGGAGCTAGGCAAATGACTACTTTCAATGGGGAGCTAGGCAAATGACTTCTGTCAATGGGCAGCTAGGAAAATGACTACTGTCAATGGGCAGCTAGGAAAATGACTGCTGTCAATGGGGAGCAAGGCAAATGACTACTGTCAATGGGGAGCCAGGCAAATGGGCACTGTCATTAAGAAGTTAGGCAAATGGGCACTGTAAATGGGGAGCTAGGAAAATGGGCACTGTCAATGGGGAGCTAGGCAAATGACTACTGTCAATGGGGAGGTAGGAAAATGACTACTGTATTTGGAAGCTAGGCAAATGACTACTGTCAATGGGAAGCTAGGCAAATTACTACTGTCAATGGGAAGCTAGGAAAATGACTACTGTGTTTGGAAGCTAGGCAAATGACTACTGACAATGGGAAGCTAGGCAAATGATTAAAGCTAGGCAAATGACTACAGTGTTTGGAATCTAGGCAAATGACTACTGTGTTTGGAAGCTAGGCAAATGACTACTGTGTTTGGAAGCTTGGCAAATGACTATTGTGTTTGGAAGCTAGGCAAATGACTACTGTGTTTGGAAGCTAGGCAAATGACTACTGTGTTTGGAAGCTAGGCAAATGACTACTGTGTTTGGAAGCTTGGCAAATGACTATTGTGTTTGGAAGCTAGGCAAATGACTACTGTGTTTGGAAGCTAGGCTAATGACTACTGTGTTTGGAAGCTAGGCAAATGACTACTGTGTTTGGAAGCTAAGCAAATGACTACTGTGTTTGGAAGCTAGGCAAATGACTACCGTGTTTGGAAGCAAGGCTAATGGCTACTGTGTTTGGAAGCTAGGCAAATGACTACTGTGTTTGGAAGCTAGGCTAATGACTACCGTGTTTGGAAGCTAGGCTAATGACTACTGTGTTTGGAAGCTAGGCTAATGACTACTGTGTTTGGAAGCTAGGCTAATGACTACTGTGTTTGGAAGCTAGGCTAATGACTACTGTGTTTGGAAGCTAAGCTAATGACTACTGTGTTTGGAAGCTAGGCTAATGACTACCGTGTTTGGAAGCTAGTCTAATGACTACTGTGTTTGGAAGCTAGGCTAATGACTACTGTGTTTGGAAGCTAGGCTAATGACCACCGGAAGTCTATCATGACGGTGATGAACATTGACCGTGTCAGTGAGCTGATGTGCAGCCAGAAGATGATTCTTACAAAATCACAATCGTCAACCGGAAATTGCAGGAGAAACTAGCATACCACAAAGAACAGTACAAAATATTGTGAAGCAAGATCTTCAAACTTACAGACTCACCAACGCGCAATGAGTCGGGTCAGAGCCGTTCTTAGGCATAGGAAAACTAGGCGACCGCCTAGGACCCCACTGCCAAGGGTCTCCGACGGGCGCTTTTTTTGTTATTTTTAGCCTACAACTTGCAAGCCCATTATTTCCAAAGTACACATTTTCTCTAGAACCGGAATTATAAATGTGGTTAGTGGTTACACACGAGCAAAGAGGAAACATTGGTGAAGGCAGAATGGAGGTGCCGCAGGGGTGGGTGGGGGGTGTTTTTTTCCTCAGCACCAGGGGAGCTCCACCCCTTCCGGGGCCCCCCTACCTACGCTCTATGCCTAGAGCCCCCAAAATCTTAAGATCGGCTCTAGTGGGGCGAAACTTAAGAGGGGGTGTCATTTAGTGTTTGTGGACTTGGGGATCTAGACCTGGTAGATTAGGATATTTGGGCTACCCTCCAAATAAAAAGTCTTTCTTCAGACCCCTTCCCCCCCCCCAGCCATACACCCACCCAAACCCACACAAGCAACACCATTATTTGCACATACACAAAACTGTGCCACTTTTAATCGACTACCCTATATAAAACATGCCTTTCACTATNGGGGGGGGGGGGGGGGGGCTTGGCTTTCGTGAATCCAAACTAAGAAAAGTTGTTTTTTAACCCCTTCTCTTCCATACTTTTCGGCCTTCTAGAGGTCAAAGTCGCAACCCCAGGTCATTGTTGAAACCTATTTTGCCACATCAGGTTTCTGACAGCCTCTTTATTTTTTCAAAATCTTACAGTCGATGACGTCATCCCGCAGATAGTAGCGAGATCAGGGACGCGTGTACCAAGGTCATGCTCGGCAATAAGATCTTTGGCAACTACACTATTGCAAAGTTAACATCTTTCTTGTTGTACTCACTGTCAATTTTAGAACCCTTGGCAAATGCAGGCAGTTGTTATTATATGATTCAATACTACACACAAAACGACATAACAGGGTAAAGTATCCAGAGATAACATCACACTAAATACTTTCACATCTGACAACAAAGTGTACGACAAAGTGAACGACAAATTGTACGACAAAGTGTACGACAAAGTGTACGACAAAGTGTACGACAAAGTGTACGACAAAGTGTACGACAAAGTGTACGACAAAGTGTACGACAAAGTGTACGACAAAGTGTACGTATGGCCCGAGCGTAGGGGGAACGTACGCACACACATACATGGTCAACGTGCTAGGCATTCGGGTTCCGAAGCAGCGTTCGGATTCACAAGGTCCTCAAGTTTATACACACATTTGGTCAACAATTCACTGATCTTTGTTGACTTAATATCTAAGAGTAATGGATAAACTCTCAGAGGCGGCGCCTTCAACGTTATTTACTACCACGGGGCGTCAAGTTGGCAACTTAACAACATCCATCTTCTAGCTTGGGTAAGTTGTGTCTCAATGAATTCCCGACCGAAATGCGCTATCTCATTAAACCTTTTTCTCATTCCAAACACTTTCCTTGGATCACCAGGATCTCCGGATTCATAATTTTTCCATGGCTCGCCTTGCATTTCTTCCACCCTACACCCTCTCAGAAACACGTGTATCAAAATAAATTTAACAACATCCTTCATATTTACCGACATCTCACCACTTATGACAGACGACATCGCATTACAACAATAATGATAACAATTTTGGCTACTCTAAAGAATAAACTTTGAATTTAATGAAATATTACGTGATCTTTGATTTAATTCCTATAATTAATAATTATTTAGTCCTTTGCAACATCCGGGCCACGACGCACAAATGAATGTGAAAAGAGACCTCACGCACCAATCATTACAAGAGGATGGGTGGAATTTCTGAGTGATGTCACTTGATGGATCTAATAACTTGTGTCTGTGAGCGAATCTTTTGTATTCTAAGAGCAGAATAAGTCTTTTAAGTAATAACTGGTGGCCTTTGAAGTAATAGTTAGTGGTCTTTGAAGTAATAACTAGTGGTCTTTGAAGTAATTACTAGTGGTCAGTAATAACTGATGGTCGTTTAAGTAATAACTGATGGTCGTTTAATTAATAACTGATGGTCATTTAATTAATAACTGGTGGTCTTTGGAGTAATAACTAGTGGTCTTTGGAGTAATAACTAGTGGTCTTTGGAGTAATAACTAGTGGTCTTTGGAGTAATAACTAGTGATCTTTGGAGTAATAACTAGTGGTCTTTGGAGTAATAACTGATGGTCGTTTAATTAATAACTGATGGTCGTTTAATTAATAACTGGTGGTCTTTGGAGTAATAACTAGTGGTCTTTGGAGTAATAACTGATGGTCGTTTAATTAATAACTGATGGTCGTTTAATTAATAACTGGTGGTCTTTGGAGTAATAACTAGTGGTCTTTGGAGTAATAACTGATGGTCGTTTAATTAATAACTGATGGTCGTTTAATTAATAACTGGTGGTCTTTGGAGTAATAACTAGTGGTCTTTGGAGTAAAAACTGATGGTCGTTTAATTAATAACTGATGGTCGTTTAATTAATAACTGGTGGTCTTTGGAGTAATAACTAGTGGTCTTTGGAGTAATAACTAGTGGTCTTTGGAGTAATAACTGATGGTCGTTTAATTAATAACTGGTGGTCGTTTAAGTAATAACTGGTGATCTTTGAAGTAATAACTAGTGGTCTTTGAAGTAATAACTAGTGGTCTTTGAAGTATTAGCTAGTGGTCTTTGAAGTAATAACTGGTGGTCTTTGAAGTAATAACTGATGGTCTGTGAGCAGACAGAAAACGTAACAGAATTAATTTAGCTGAAATATTAATTAATTAAATTAATCAATTAAGCACATCGCCATTGAATATTTCAGTGTCACCCCTTTATCGTGGAGTTGAGGTCAACAAGTATAATTGATGTGCCCGAGATACTGATTGCCGAGATGGTTGCAGACGTGCAGCACAGACACGACACAACAATTTACTGTCCCTCCCTTTCCTGAGGTTTATCTAAATGCTTTGGACACATTGTAAATTAATTATTTGGCAAAAGGCCATTGAATTGTATGACCCATATTTCAGTGTAATCAACAACTCAAAGGTGTAGCTATGCGGGCCATACGCTTGAAAGTTCATTGTCCTCTTTACCTTATCTATTAAGAGCTGTATGAGATGTCCTTATATGTCAACGCTTTCATTAAACAAACGAAATTCAGGTAAGTTCTATCTCTGTGACCGCGACCCGACCAAACGCTTAAGGGCAAGTCATTCAAGCCTGTGCGGGCCAAAACAAAGGCTGCCACGCTTTGACTCAAGAACACGACTTCTTAACCAGAAATGGCGGGATAAATCTTGTGTTGTCCAGGGGTCAGCCTAGTGTTTGATCCCGCCCTTCTATGCAACAAAGTATTTGATACTGTGTTCTATGCAGCCAAGTATTTCATACCGTGTTCTATGCAGCCAAATATTTGGCCCCGTCCCCCTATGTGCCAACCTTCTTGTCCCGTGATTCTATGCAGCCAAGTGTTTGATCCAATCCCTCTATTAGCCAAGTATTAGGTCTCGCCCCTCTACGCTGCCAAGTATTTTGCCCCGTCACTATAAGATCCAGGTATCTGATCCAATCCATCTATGCAGCCCTTCCTTTGTGAAGCCGTCTATCTTTGTGACGTATCATCTTCCATTTGACTGAGGGGCTCGTAACGTAGCTACCGACATCGTCATTTGGGTTCCTCTCTCTGAAAGACGCTCCCCCCCCCCAACCACTTCCCTTGAAATGTCTTCTAAGACAGTGTTGTATAAAGTCTTTAATTGGCAAGACTCCGCTAAGAATTGGTTTAAAGGTTGCATCCCCCATCCCCCACCCCCGCAAAAACAAAACCCAAACAAACAAACAAAAAACTGCAAACCTCCCCCCCCCCTTTTTTTTTTTTTTCCAAAACGACAAGCGACCACAAGTTAGCATGTTAACGACAGAAGGTGTTAAACCACTTACCTAAAGCTTTGACTTACCTGCAGTGAACTCGATGACCACTGTGACTGTGCTGCCATGGCTGAATGTGCAAGGCTGGCTGGGGCAAGGGCTCAGTTCAACGGAGGTTGCTTGTCCAAGGTTGTCTGGGACAGAAACATTAATTGTGACATTTGACATCTCAGGTTACTGCTTTCATATCTAGTTAGAAAATAGTTGGGTACATTGTTCTTTGTAACCCGTATGTAAACACCAGTGGCGTAGCTGGGATGGGGGGGGGGGGGGCGGGAGTCGTGGACCGCACCGGGGGTCACCATCTCAGGGGGTGACACCCAATTGAAAAATGGCATATTTAAAGAGCACACACCGCTCGACTCAGGTTACTGCTTTCATATCTAGTTAGAAAATAGTTGGGTACATTGTTCTTTGTAACCCGTATGTAAACACCAGTGGCGTAGCTGGGATGGGGGGGGGGGTGCGGGAGTCGTGGACCGCACCGGGTGTCACCATCTCAGGGGGTGACACCCAATTGAAAAATGGCATATTTACAGAGCACACACCGCTCGGTCAAACCGAATTTTATGAAAGGATAACCGATCACATGTACATTCTCCACACATGTAACCAATCGCAATGCGTGCTTTTCTAAAAGTTATAAGTTGATGCGTCAGAAATGAGGTGACCCTATAATTAGCTCAGAAAACCTCCGTTTAAAAATGAGTTTTTACCTATTTATAGGCTTAACCGGTGACGTAGCTAGGGGGAGCAGGGAGGCGGACAGTACCAGGTGACACCATCACAGGGGGTGACACCAAATTGAAACAATGCATCTTTACAGAGAACTTACCACTCGGTCTAACGGAATTTCATAAAAGAATCACATGTAAAATTTCCACACATGTAACCGATCCAAATTGCGTGCTTTATCAAAAGTTCAAGGTTGGTACGTTAGAAACATCTTTTTGGCCATTATTCAACTCCGAATGAATTGTTCGATAACTTTCATAAATGATGGGAAGCAATATTGATCTAAATTCTGAGAAACATAGCTTTCCACTGAAACCAAATGTGATAAGGTCAGACAATTCTAAGTAAATGAATCAATCGCTAAAAAAAATTTAACATCTTTTTGGCCATTATTCAACTCCGAATGAATTGTTCGATAACTTTCATAAATGATGGGAAGCAATATTGATCTAAATTCTGAGAAACATAGCTTTCCACTGAAACCAAATGTGATAAGGTCAGACAATTCTAAGTAAATGAATCAATCGCTAAAAAAAATTTAAAGAATTAAAAAATCAATTTTACCCATTTTTTAAGGTCAACAAAATAATATTTTACACAATTTTCATACTTTTTAATAATTAATTTAAATTGATTTAAATTTAAAAATTAATATTTTTAAAACCAAATATATCGAAACCCAGAAATACTCAAAAATAAATATTTTTGCTGATTCGTCACTAGCACCATCTCTTAACATTAGAGCACGATTGTTATGCAACACAAGGTCTTTTACACGCTGTCTGTGATTCCACGTTTATCTGGTACCCTTACCGTTGGGATGATCTACTTGAGGAAGTTAATCTTACACAGCAGTATGTGCAGACTAAAGGCTTTACTCTTGACCAAGTGATGACAAACAAAGAGGCCTTAAGATTGTTTCTGCACGAGAAGCACTGTCGCTTTGTGGAACATGCTATTGAAAATGTACTTTAAAAATCAGAACCATATGGATTGCGGTAGAGAGAAGATTAGGGTTTAAGAAGAGAATGAAAGGAGAACAATTAATAGATTATGGCCTCTCTCTGGGAGAAGAAAACAGTAAGGTGATGCTGGAGTGCATTGTTCGCTTTCATTTTAAACACCAGATCAGATCATCAGCGATCAATGAAGTAGCAGATTTATTTGGGGCTCTTCACACCACGAGTCTACTATCAGTAAGTGATGGAGAGTTATTGCTGTCCCTTCCAAAATTAGCCTCATTTTATGATAAGCTATCAAAGGATGAACTTTTAAAATAAATACAAAGACTTAGAAGACACAAAAGGCAGCTAATATTGAATTTCACAAATTCAAGGACTGGTCAGTATTTGATGTTTTGAAATTCATATCTGAATGGGATTTCCTAGAATCTCTCCGATACTCTCGCGAAGCCTTCAATTGTTTCTTACGATCTGTATGTCTGTGGCTTCCTATGAGCCTAGCTTTTCAAAACTAAGGTTTATCAAGACCTATTCACGATCCACCATGGGACAGAAGGGCTTCTGATCTATAGCTCTACTATCAATTGAAAGTGGTGCGGTGAAGAATATTGAATTTGATCATGTGATTAAAAGTTTTGCAACTTTGAAGACCAGGAAGAGGCAGGCACATTTTTGATCAAGTAAATTTAATGTCAACATAACTTAACGCTGTTACGTCTTCCTCTTCTATATTCTGGGGACCCACGATCATTGTCTTGATCCTCCTAGCTCCTAAAAATACTTAAATAAAGTTCTTAAATACATTGACCTACTTGCCTTTAATTAATTTTGTTGTTTTTGTCATGTCTTGATCCTCCTAGCTCCTAAAAATACCTAAATAAAGTTCTTAAATACATTGACCTACTTGCCTTTAATTAATTTGGTTGTTTTTGTCATGTGTTGATCATCCTGGCTCCTAAAAATACTTAAATAAAGTTCTTAAATACATTGACCTACTTGCCTTTAATTAATTTTGTTGTTTTTGTCATGTCTTGATCCTCCTAGCTCCTAAAAATACTTAAATAAAGTTCGTAAATACATTGACCTACTTGCCTTTAATTAATTTTGTTGCTCTTGTCATTGTTACACTGTGGACTTATTTTATCAATAACGAATCCATCTTGGAAGTCGGGGGAGGGGGGGAGGTGACACCATGAGTTTACCACGCCGGGTGACACCAACCCTAGCTACGCCACTGTGTAACATGTAACACCAACCCTAGCTACGCCACTGTGTAACATGTACGTAGTTATGTCTCTGCTACTGTAACGTGTATGACGACTGCAGAGCTTCTAAAACTGAATGTTTTGTTGCCCTAATCCCAATTGGACCCCATCCATAACAACAACAAGAAGCATAGTCAACAATATACAGTGTTCCTCAACCTTTTATTCACTTAAATCACATCTAGACCCTTCCCAGATTTCAACTCATTTACTATGGTATACACGGACCAACATATTGATTTAAAAAAATAAAAATTGTATAGACGTGAAATGAACATGGGCAAGTGATGTAACCTGAACTAGTTTGTCACTATTGAAGCTGGAATGTCAGTAGAACAGTTAATCTAAAGACGTAAAAAACACGTTAAAATATTCTACACTTACAACTACGATGCGCACAGAAACCACAACTACAACGCACACAGAAACCACAACTACAATGCACACAGAAACAACAACTACTATGCACACAGAAACAACAACTACAATGCACACATAAACAACAACTACAACGCACACAGAAACAACAACTACAATGCACACATGAACTACAACTTAAATTCACACAGAAACAACAACTACAACGCACACAGAAACAACAACTACAATGCACACATGAACTACAACTTAAATTCACACAGAAACAACAACTACAATGCACACAGAAACAACAACTACAATGCACACAGAAACAACAACTACAATGCACACAAGAAACTACAACTGCAATGCACACAGAAACAATAACTACAATGCACACAGAAACAACAGCTACAATGCAAACATGAACTACAACTTAAATGCACACAGAAACAACAACTGCAATGAACACAGAAACCACAGCTGCAATAACTCCCTCACAAAAAACACATCCCAAAAAAATAAACGAATAACCCCCAGAAAAGTTCACGTGCACCCAAACAATTGCTTACCTCCAGGACAAGGCTTGAACGCGATTTTCTCCGCACTCGCCAGAGCAAGAAGTGTCACAAACCACACGAAACTTTCCATTGTAAATGACCGCCAGTGACGGCCTCAGACACTTATATACGGCTGCCAGCTAAGTACATGAAAATAGAAGTCAAGAGCTCACAGACAATCTGATTCTAATCTCAAGATGTGATCGACGGTGGAATACTTGAGCTCCAGGGGCGAATCTCTTTATGTTTGTGAATGGACTCTGCTGCTCTATAAGGACGCGACCAGCGCCTGATATTTGAAGAAGGAAAAAAGAAAAAGAAACGCCTCTGGGGAAAGATAACGATGTTTCGAAAAAATGTCTTCCCCCTCATCACGTGACTCTGACCTCAACAGCTCGCGAGCACCGCTTGAGTTCCCCAATGGGTAGCGAGCACCGCTTGAGTTCCCCAATGGGTATCGAGTGCCGATGAAATTAGAGTTTTAAACTCGTTTTGGCAGACGTCGTTTGAAAATAAACCTCAGCATTCTGCTGTTTGTTTGTTTGTTTGTTTGTTTCTTGTTTTTTTTTTTTTTGGGGGGGGGTGGGTGGGGGTTAACAGTTTTGTGCAAGCACAGCTCGAATTGAAGTTAACATTTTCTCCAAACGACCAGATAAGGCCAAAAATAAACCTCAGCATTCTGCTGTTTGTTTGTTTGTTTGTTTGTTTCTTGTTTTTTTTTTTTTTGGGGGGGGGTGGGGGGGGGTTAACAGTTTTGTGCAAGCACAGCTCGAATTGAAGTTAACATTTGCTCCAAACGACCAGATAAGGCCACAGTGTGTCATAGGATGAAGTTGACTGTGGCCAAGGCGACTCGCTTAAAAGTACATTGGGCAAAATCTTTAATGGTGTATTGACCTGTTTCAGAGGCGGAGCGCGCACTCAAAGGAAGTTTAGGAAAACAGTTCTTTAATTGCTTTTTTTTAAAAATTACATATATTGTTTAGTTAAATTAACATTATTTTTTTTTAAATTTACATATTGTTTATTAAAATTAAATTTAAAAAAAATTACATATTGTTTAGTTAAATTAACAATAATTATGTAAAATTTACATATCGTTTAGTTGAATTAACATTAATTATTTTTTTTTTAAATTTACAAATTGTTTATTTAATTGTAAATTTTTTTTTTTAAATTTACATATTGTTTAGTTAAATTAACATTATTTTTTTTTCTCCAGTGGCGGAAAAAGACTGATTTGAAGATTGATTTAATGTAACATGTATGAAGTCCTGTCTCTGCCACTGCAACATGCATTTAGTCCTGTCTCTGCAAATGTAACATGTATGAAGTCCTGTCTCTGCCACTGCAACATGCATTTAGTCCTGTCTCTGCCACTGCAACATGCATTTAGTCCTGTCTCTGCTAATGTAACATGTATGAAGTCCTGTCTCTGCCACTGCAACATGCATTTAGTCCTGTCTCTGCCACTGCAACATGCATTTAGTCCTGTCTCTGCTAATGTAACATGTATGAAGTCCTGTCTCTGCCACTGCAACATGCATTTAGTCATGTCTCTGCTAATGTAACATGTATGAAGTCCTGTCTCTGCCACTGCAACATGCATGAAGTCCTGTCTCTGCCACTGCACCATGCATTTAGTCCTGTCTCTGCCACTGCAACATGCATTTAGTCCTGTCTCTGCTAATGTAACATGCATTTAGTCCTGTCTCTGCTAATGTAACATGTATGGCAGCTGCAGAAGTTCTCAGATTGTATGTTTTGTTTTCCTTATACCCATTGGACCCCATCCCCCACAACAGGAGCAACACACCTTATCTACAATATACAGTGATCCTCAAATTTTTTTTTTCACCCACGACACGCCGAGACCATTCCCAGATTTCAACGGCTTACCATAATTAAAACATGATATCAAATGGCCTGGATAGGTTGCAGCACTTTTAAATGGAATAAATAATCAAATATTATAACTTTGAAAAACACAAATTAAAAAAAAATATCTTAAAAAATTATTCGCAAATGATTTAAGTTGTTAAATTTAGCTAAAAATTGTCCTACCCACTTCCGTGATATTACAAAATATATAATTCCTTAATGCTGACGCTGTAAAAAGCTTGGCTGATTTAGAGTTCAATTCGTTCACTACTGAAATTTAGACTGAATTTAAAAATAATGAGGACAGACATAGGGCAAAGCGGACGACAGACATAGGACAATGCTGAGGACAGACATAGGACAATGCGGAGGACAGACATAGGACAACGCTGGGGAAAGACATAGGACAACGCTGGGGAAAGACAGGACAACGCTGGGAAAAGACAGAGGACAACGCTGGGGAGAGGCATAGAACAACGCTGGGGACAGACATAGGACAACGCTGGGGACAGACATAGGACAACGCTGGGGAAAGACACAGGACAACGCTGGGGAAAGACATAGGACAACGCTGGGGAAAGACATATGGCAACGCTGAGGAGAGACCTAGGACAACGCTGGGGACAGAAATAGGACAACGCTGGGGAAAGACATAGGACAACGCTTGGGAAAGACATAGGACAACGCTGGGGAAAGACATAGGACAACGCTTGGGAAAGACATAGGACAACGCTGGGGACAGACATAGGACAACGCTGGGGAAAGACAGGACAACGCTGGGAAAAGACAGAGGACAACGCTGGGGAGAGACATAGGACAACGCTGGGGACAGACATAGGACAACGCTGAGGACAGACATAGGACAACGCTGGGGAAAGACATAGGACAACGCTGGGGAAAGACATAGGACAACGCTGGGGAAAGACATAGGACAACGCTGGGGACAGACATAGGACAACGCTTGGGAAAGACATAGGACAACGGTGGGGACAGACCTAGGACAACGCTTGGGAAAGACCTAGGACAATGCTGAGGACAAGGGACAGACATAGGACAACGCTGGGGAAAGACATAGGACAACGCTGGGGAAAGACATAGGACAACGCTGGGGAAAGACATAGGACAACGCTGGGGAAAGACATAGGACAACGCTGGGGAAAGACATAGGACAACGCTTGGGAAAGACATAGGACAACGTTGGGGAAAGACATAGGACAACGCTTGGGAAAGACATAGGACAATGCTGAGGACAAACCTAAGGCAATACTTAGGACAGACCTGGGACCTGCGTCAATTCTTAGGCCAGACCTGGGGCCCAGGACCTCTTGTAAGCTACATCCGGCCCTGCCAGCTGATTGATGGGTAAAAACATCGAAGTACATTACATCATGACGTCACACCCATTGACGTGACAGAAGTTTATCCGTCGTCGACCGTTATTTGGTCCTGCCATCCCGGAGTCAGCCATCTAAATTTGAAAAACTAACCCGCATGTTTTGAAACATGGATGAGGATCCATGCAGACTTGACCAAATGTGTCATAGAAAAAAAAATAAAAAACCTTTTCGACTTTAACCTTTGCACTGCCTAGCATATCTATCCATAAAATAACTTATTATACCACTGTCTTGGCCGAGATTATGAATACAGAACTGAAGTACAGGAACTCAGTTATACAACATCAAATATCTCCCCCTTGGCCAAGAGATGAAGGACTACTATCAAATTTCTGAGAAATGCAATCAAGTCACAGAGAAACACGATCCCATCTCTCAGAGATACAATCAAATCTCTGTGCCATAAAGTATGCCATAAAGAAAGTCCTTTTAAGTTTAAGTATTAGGATGACGTAATAAAAAAAGCAACAACAAATATTACGACACGTCACAGTTTTGAACGAGATTTTCCAGATTTAGCAACTTTGTCCTGGCGTAGCAGCTGCTTTGTAATGTATTCATGATTTCATTTTCAGATGTATAAATTAATCTGTTCTAAATGTGTACGTATGCAATGTACACACAGTACGAAAGCCTTGTACACACTACACGAAAACCTTGTAAACACTGTACGAAAGCCTTGTACACACTACACGAAAACCTTGTAAACACTGTATGAAAGCCTTGTACACTACACGAAAGTCTTGTACAAACTGTATAAAAACCTTGTATACACTGTACGAAAGCCAAGTACAAACTGTTAAGTTAATTTCAGAACTTTATCGGTATCAAATTCCATATTTAAAATGAAATAGCTTCATCTATGTTGAGAGACATCCCAGTTCTATGCTCGCATTACGCAACGTGCGTTTGTTGATGAGTTAGTTCATTGCACATTTGAGACCTTTTGGAATATGAGGCCTGGGCCAAATGTTCGGCCTGCAACCTATGACCTCCGCGCCCCTACCAGTGGCGTACCTCGGCTAAATGTGGCCCGGGGCAAACTCCAAAAAATTGCGCCCCAAAAAACATCTATTACATATTGCTGGTAATGAATATTAACACATTTACTTCCCATTTGAGTCACACCTTCTAGGTACGCCTCTGGCGATGCCTACTCCAATAGGTCCCGGTTTTAAGCCATCAGATCGTGTTAATCCACGTTAAGCCATATACTAAAGCAAACATAGAAAATAGCTTGCCGGGGCTGGGCTGTCAGAAAAAAATGGGTGGGGGGGCGGACTAATGTTCCGCTAAACGAATGACTAAAGTTGTTATGTAAACAGCCCAACATTGCGTTTAAAAACAAATTGTTATTTTGCATGGGAAGTAAAATAGCTTGCCGGGGCTGGGCTGTCAGAAAAAAATGGGGGGGGGGGGGCGGACTAATGTTCCGCTAAACGAATGACTAAAGTTGTTATGTAAACAGCCCAACATTGCGTTTAAAAACAAATTGTTATTTTGCATGGGAAGTACAACTGCATAACTGGGGAATGGGGGAAGGGTGGGGGATATGATCCTGTTTGCTGGGCTCTAGTAAATATGAAGCACCTGTAAATATTTAATATTTTAAAAACAATTTTTGTTTTGTGAATTTGGTCAAATAATCTCATTTAAATAAGGGATTAAGTTTGATTATTTTTTTTCAAATGATTCCCTTGGGCGGCTATTCTCAAACTGAGGTGTGTGTGTGACATGTGATGCTAGTAGCTAGTTGATCAGTGTGACATGTGATGCTAGTAGCTAGTTGATCAGTGTTACATGTGATGCTCGTAGCTAGTTGATCAGTGTGACATGTGATGCTAGTAGCTAGTTGATCAGTGTGACATGTGATGCTAGTAGCTAGTTGATCACGTTACATTCTTCATTAAACCGTGCGCAAACAAAAGATTTGTTCCGTGGCAGTGACAAGATAACTTTTGAGCAACTTATTTTTAAGTGGTAAAATATTCAAGTAATTCGAGGCTACATACAATTGATTAAATCAGCTCTGAGAATATTCAACATATCTACGGCAAGGCCGGCTGGGGTGTGACATTACAGTGGTCAGCTCTGAGAATACCCCACATAACTACGGCAAGGCCGGCTGGGGTGTGACATTACAGTGGTCAGCTCTGAGAATGCCCCACATATCTACGGCAAGGCCGGCTGGGTGTTACATTACAGTGGGTTTCGTTGTTGTTTTTTTTTAAAAAATGTTTACGATGTGACTTTGTAATTGGAAATGTTGAGATGTGTTTGATTAATTGTTACGAAAATTACACATCCACAAGATCTTATTTACGCGCGATGTTGTTACACATACAAAGTGTTCATCAAATGATGTTGGTACACATACAAAGTGTTCATCAAATGTTGTTCGTACACATACAAAGTGCGCATCAAATGTTGTTGGTACACATACAACGTGTTCATCAAATGATGTTGTTACACATACAAAGTGTTCATCAAATGATGTTGGTACACATACAAAGTGTTCATCAAATGTTGTTCGTACACATACAAAGTGCGCATCAAATGTTGTTGGTACACATACAACGTGTTCATCAAATGTTGTTGGTACACATACAACGTGTTCATCAAATGATGTTGGTACACATACAAAGTGTTTATCAAATGATGTTGGTACACATACAAAGTGTGCATCAAATGATGTTGGTACACATACAAAGTGTGCATCAAATGATGTTGGTACACATACAAAGTGTGCATCAAATGATGTTGGTACACATACAAAGTGTGCATCAAATGGAAACAGCTGAAGTTTTGTGTGTGTTACATTTACATTATTTGTGTAAAAAGAAAGAGCCAAATCTTTTGTATCAGACAATATAGCATGGCCGGCTGAGGCGTTTATTTCAATCAAAATGCGAATGACGTCATTTGCTCTTTCCAATGATTTTCTCGAATAGGACAGCAAAGATGTTCTTTTCAGCGATGTACGACTACCCTGTACAACTGCCCTGTACGACTGCCCTGTACTACGTTTAACTGCAGTGGATCATATACTTTTAGGACTAAAGGTACAGCCATCATTGATTTTAAAAAAATGATTAAAGTTCCAGAACAATTTTTGCTTACTTTACTTTGTCTTTTGGACATCACCACCCCCTCCCCTACACATACACACTAAAGATAATTACATTTTAGTTGTATTTAGTTAAAAACTCAGGATACTTATTGCTTGGACCTTACCAATTTACAAACTTAGTCTACTTATTTGTTGGACCATCCCAAACGTACGAAATTTGTTCACTTGACTTTGTCCGTGACCACACCGTTCTTGTTCAAAAAGTACGGCCTGCCATCCACCTTGTACAGACAAGGGGGTGGGGGCTCGGCCTTGACCCGGATCTCGATGACCTTGGTGTCGGGCACGATAAGGCCGTTGGGCGACATGATCTTGGAGATGGTGCACTGGTAGACCGCGGTGATGACCAGTGGCTTCACACGGTTGACTTGCTGGTCCAGAGACCGCCGGAAGGATTGCTCGGCGGACGCGTTGAGGTTGATGCCCTTGATCGTCCCGTCGTCCGTGACGCCGAAATAGATGGAGCCGCCTTTGCCCATGTTGAGGAGGGCGCTCATGTATTTGGCTAAGATTAGATTGCTGAGGACAGAAGGCAGATCACGTGACAAGGGTAGTAGGTGACGCCAAAAGAGTGGTCAACTGATATGGGAGGATTGGTGTGTGTGTGTGTGTGTGTGTGCCACAGTGAGACAATGTGTGACACCATGACAGTGTGTCACACAGAGATACTGTGTCACAGAAAGGCAATGTGTCACAGAGAGACAATGTGCCAAGGAGAGACAATGTGTCACAGACAGGCAATGTATCACACAGAGACAATGTGTCGCAGACAGGCAATGTGTCACAGAGAGACAATGCGTCACAGACAGGCAATGTGTCACACAGAGACAATGTGTCACAGACAGGCAATGTGTCACAGAGAGACAATGTGTCACAGAGAGACAATGTGTCACACAGAGACAATGTTTCACACAGAGACAATGTGTCACAGAGAGACAATGTGTCACACAGAGACAATGTTTCACACAGAAACAATGTGTTACAGACAGGCAATGTGTCACACAGAGGCAATGTGTCACAGAGAGAAAATGTGTCACAGAGAGAATGTGTCACTGATAGACAATGTGTCACAGAGAGACAATGTGTCACACAGAGGCAATGTGTCACAGAGAGGCAATGTGTCAATGTGAAAGAGGGGCTATGTGCCATAAGAGAGACAGTGTGTCGTGAAAGAGGTACACTATGTGACAGATTGACAACATGTGGCAAATGATAATATGTGGCCGATTGGCAATGCGTGACAGCAAGAAAGTGTGCGACATTGAAACAACGTACAACTAATGACAGCATGTGACGGGTTGAAAATGTATGACTAATGACACAATGTGACAGATTATACAAAGTGTGACTGACGGCGAGATAATGTTTGACGGCGAGATAATGTTTGACAGCGAGACGATGTGTTACAGACGGACATTATGACACAGAGAAGCTACCTAAATAAAGTCTTGGCTAATCCATTGGATTATTTATATCTCCTTGTGAAATGTTTAGAGCCCTCCCCCGCCCTTTTCCTTTCCCGACACTTCTTAACAAAATCTTGTTCGTTCTGTTTTTTTTATTGCCACTCCCCCCGTTTCCTTTTTGTGTACACCTTACACTCATCCCGTGCTGGGGACCACGCCAAGAAACACTCACCCCATGCTGGGGACCACACCAAGAAACACTCACCCCATGATGGGAACCACGCCAAGAAACACTCACCCCGTGCCGGGGACCACACCAAGAAACACTCACCCCGTGCTGGGGACCACGCCGAGAAACACTCACCCCGTGCTGGGGACCACGCCAAGAAACACTCACCCCGTGCTGGGGACCACGCCCAGGACCACTCACCCCGTGCATCTCCCCGTGCTGGGGACCACGCCAAGAAACGCTCTCCCCGTGCTGGGGACCACGCCAAGAAACACTCACCCCGTGCTGGGGACCACGCCAAGAAACACTCACCCCGTGCTGGGGACCACGCCAAGAAACACTCACCCCGTGCTGGGGACCACACCAAGAAACACTCACACCGTGCTGGGGACCACGCCACGAAACACTCACCCCGTGCTGGGGACCACACCAAGAAACACTCAGTACTGCCTCAACAGCCTCGGCATGCCGCGCATTATCAAAACTCATTACATTCAGAATTTATAAAAAATATTTTAAATAGAACTTTCTTTTTTTTCAGCATTTTAATGAACTAGTCGAGTGTGTGTGTGGGGGGGAGTGGGGGCGGAGGGGGCGCAGGATTAAATTGAAGAGTTTGGACTTCTTTGAGTCCATTTTTCTCTAGCTCCCCGATATCCCAGATAGCTGACATCTCATGCACATCATTTTCTTGTTGTATATTTTGATGCTACAAGTTGTTCTACCCTGTGTTGCTCCTATCTCTAAAGATCTTATCATAAAGAACAGGGGTCTCAAACTCAAATCATCCGGGGTCCGCAGGAGGCGGATTCTGAGTGAGACTGGGTCGCATCAAGTATTCCACACAAAAAAAGCGTTTACAAATTCAATGAAGTAAAAATGTTACAATCTGCTCAACCCTTAGTAATGACAAATAAAAACATTAAGGGTTCTCAAGAACGAGGCTTCACTTTCTTCAACCTACTGCTTGTTGCTAGAGACCTGACAGCGCAAAGTGACCAAGCTGACAGGTTCAGAATTTCCCTCACTCATGAGCATTAGCGGCAATTTTAATAGGGACTCTTTGAGACTGTGTCAGATTGCTACGATTTACTTAATTACACTAACTGATTTTTTCAAAATGTTAAATTGGTGTATACAATATTCAAAGCGTGTTTTCTCAAAACCTCACTTTGCCAAAGTTTGTCTTATAAAATGCTACAAATTAAAAACTTTTAGTTCAATTTTAAAACAGTTTTTACCATTATAATCAAAGTCCAAATCTATACTAAAATAACAAAAATCAGAATTAGACTAGTCGGTGAGGTTCGACTGAAACCGTCGCGGAGGGTCACATTATAGATATGAGAATGGCGGAACCTCGCGTGCCGCATCATCACCACTATCAACTAAATTTGCTTTCATGTCGCGGGCCGCAACATATCGTCTTGCGGGCCGCAAATGGTCCGCCGGCCGCGAGTTTGAGACCCCTGATATAGAATGAAAAAAAGCACAAGAAAAACAAACTATCCCCCATGGTAGGCAATGAAATATTGCACGTATGGAACTCAGAGATTCAACCCTTACAGCAACATTACATTTTGAGAATAGGCATTTGTTCCCCCTTAAAAATGGGTTGTTACCCAATAATTTTTTTTTAACACACGTTCGATGGAGTGACTTTGTAAACAAAAATTGTAGCTTGGAGATTTTGAGAATTTAAATAAGAGTCTCTTTAAATCAGTACATGTCATAAAACTAATAAGAGTCTGTGTTAAATCAGTATATGTCATAAAACTAACAAAAGGGGCTACTAACAAATAAACAATCATGACCATTTAAAACTTCTCTGACAAGTTGAATAAATGAAAACTCAAAGTAATCTCACAGCCCACTTCTATAGCAGTGTTTACCTCTTCTGGTATTCCTTGTACGTAAGCAGTACGGCGCAGCCCTCGGGTTGCGGCATCTTGTCCCGATTCGAGTAGAACGACACCCCGCGGCAGAAGCGGAACTGCGGGAGTGTTGTGTGCGTGTCGATGCACGTCTGCCAGTCGCCGAGGATGTACAGCTCCTCCTCCCCCTCCTCGTCCCCTCCCTCACTGTCCACCTCCTCCAGGATCTCGAACTGGACTTTCTCGGTGGCCAGGGAGAGACACACCAGGTCGTACAGCTTCTCGACGTCGCCGCCCTGCGGGGTGCCCTTCATCACGGTGATGATCCCTTCCCGGACGGGCGTGTAGCTGACGGTGTCGTTGCACAGGAGCGGCCCGTCGCTCGGTTCTGGCGTCGGCCCAGTCTTCTTTTGCCGCGGCGGCTTGGGCAGTTTCGATTTCGCGGCACCCACAAACAGTTGCGACACTTCACTGTACTCCTGGAGGACACAAGTTTCACAATGGTTTGAGAATTGTGCTCCTGGTAATGATTTAAGTCACAGTCATCCCACCCCCCCCCGGGGTCTCTTCCCCCCCCCATGCCGGACCATGGGAAAAAAAACAACAAACTTATTGGAGGTTTGTTTAAAATTGTAAGTTTACTTGTTACATTCGATTGACCAATGTTGATCAAAGGACTACAAAACATAGTCAAAGCTGAAAGTTTTCTGCATAAAGTAATAGAAAGAATTCAAGCAACCAAAATGTATCTCCAAGAAACTGCTTCAGGTCACTCCAGAGAGTCACATTTTTCTCATTGGAAGTCGATGAAAATTTAAAAAAAATTCTGACAAAGGTAATTATTGCCAATCTAATGTGTTGAAGGGGAATACTATTTTCTCCACACTACTCATTTCCACACTACACACTACTCATTCCACACTACACACTACTCACGCCACGCTACACACTACTCACTACACACTACACACTACTCACTGTACACTACACACTATTCACTCCACACTACACACTACTCTCTACAAACTACTCACTCCACACTCCACACTACTCACTGCACACTACACACTATTCACTCCACACTCCACACTACTCTTTACTCACTACACACTACTCACTACACACTACTCACTTCTCACTACACACTATTCACTCCACACTACACACTACACACTACTCTCTACACACTAAACACTGCTCCCTCCACACTACACACTACTCACTCCACACTATAAACTACTCACACCACACTACACACTTCTCACTCCAAACTACACACTACTCACTCCACACTACACACTACTCACTGCACACTTCACACTACTCACTTCTCACTACACACTACACACTATTCACACCACACTACACAATATTCTCTATACAGTACACACTGCTCACTCGACAATACACACTACTCACTACACACTACTCACTCCACACTAAACACTACTCACTCCACACTACACACTACTCACTACACACTACTCACTACACACTACTCACTACACACTATAAAATACTCACTGCACACTACACACTACACACTATTCACTCCACACTCCACACAACTCATTACAACCTACACACTACTCACTGCACACTACACACTACACACTACTCACTGCACACTATTCACTCCACACTACACACTATACACTTCTCTCTACTCACTACACACTACTCACTACACACTACTCACTACTCACTACACACTACACACTACACACTATTCACTCCACACTCAAAATTACACACTACTCTCTACACACTACACACTACACACTACTCACTCCACACTACACAATACTCACTACACACTACTCACTACACACTACTCACTACACACTACTCACTGCACACTACACACTATTCACTCCACACTACACACTATACACTACTCTCTACTCACTACACACTACACACTATTCACTACACACTACACACTACTCTCTACACACTAAACACTGCTCACTCCACACTACACACTACTCACTCCACACTATACACTACTCACTCCAAACTACACACTACTCACTCCACACTCCACACTACTCGTACACAGTACTCACTACTCACTACACACTTTTGGAAGAAATATTTTACAATTAACTCCTCTTAACAGCTGTAACCGTGAGGCAGTTTCTCTGAAGATATTTGCACAAGGTTGTCAATTAAAATTTATAAGTTGATATTATGCCATACTAAGGGCTAATATTGCACATTGCAAAATTTGGCCAGTGTTGAGCTACCTGTAAATATTATTGCAAATTTGTGTTAGTGTTGAGCTACCTGTACATTTTATTGCAAATTTGTGTTAGTGTTGAGCTACCTGTACATTTTGTTGTAAAATTTTGTCAGTGTTGAGCTACCTGTAAATATTATTGCAAAAGTATGTCAGTGTTGAGCTACTTGTAAATATTATTTAAACATATTTCTTTTTTACTTTTTACATTATGAACACATTTAAGAGTTAGGAAGATGAAAATTGGACAATACATTTTTGAGTGGTACCCTAATTTATATGACAGTCCTACACCCTACCTGCTGGCTTTTAAAAATATGTTAAAATAGTGGTGATTGTGGGTGGGTGTAGGTGGGTGGGTGTAGGTGGGTGGGTGTAGGCGGGTGGGTGTAGGTGGGGAAGGGTATGAGGGTGCGTGTGAGTGTATGTGTATGTGTGTGTGTGTGAAAACAAAGTAATATTAAAGGTTTTTTTTGTTTTTATTTGATCGTAGACACAGAATGTACAGCCCAGATGTTCAGTGCAGTTTTTACCTGCTGGCAGTCGACGATCTCCTGGGTTATTTTCCTGACCTTCAGGTGTTTGGGATTGTCCACGAGACGCCGTAGATCGAACACGTTCATCACACTGAAAATATCGCTGAAGACCTGGACCAAAGAAAGTGGAGTTGTTTGTTGGTTTTTTTTTTTTTAAACTCTAGAGACCATCGAAATTGCGCACGTCAATTTTAAATCTCATCCTCTAAATATTTCAACGTGACGCCAACAACCCTAACCTTGACACAGTGATCCTCAGCGGCCACGGCCTTGAACTCGACCTTGGCGTAGCCAGAGTCGGGGTGAACGGAGACTTCCGTGACGGCCGCACACCGGATGCCGATGCAGTTCAGCAGGCGGAAGATGTTTTTAGCCGTGTTGTCCGGGTTCATGTTCAAGCGGAGCGGCCCCACGTAGATGCCGAACTTCGGCTCCACCACGTCTTCCTCATCAATATCTTCCACATCCTGGTCGTCGTCCGTCGCGAACACGTCATCGAGGTCCTCTTCAGGGGCGGGGCTATCTCGCGGTGCCGGGGAAGGGGACGGGTTGGCCGGCGGCCTGGCCTGGGACTGAGGGTCTGTGGGTGAGTCACGGCCCGTGGGCCTGGCTGAAGATTCGGGGGCTGGGGGAAGTGCCGCAGTTTCGTGGCTCCGTTTTGAAGATTGTTCTGCCGGATCTGAAGCTTGATCTTTGCTAGGGTCAGCCATTTCAAGTTCTGTATGTTAAACAAAAATAGTTCAAGAACCACAGAGATTCGTTAAATGAACATTTTTGTGAAAGCATTCTCGCCCTCTCTCTCTCTCTCTCTCTCTCTCTCTCTCCCTGCATCCTGGCCACTCTCACTGTCTCTCTCGCTCTATATTTTCTTTATATATATATATATATATATGTATATATAGAGAGAGATAGGGAGATACCCCATACATTGAGATCATACATCATATGAACGACGTACAACATATTAAGGATATACAACACATAAGGGACATACAACCAGTGGCGTCATCTCAGGTTTTTTGGGCTTGTTAAGCTGTTTATAACTGGAGGCACCATAGTACATAGAAAATTTAAATAAAAACTTCATATACAGAGAGGGGAGGGGGCAAATGCCCCCTGCCCTATCCCATATGACGTCCCTGTATAGAGCATATTAAGGACATACAACATAATGATGACATAAAACATATTAATTATATACAACATTTTGAGGACATACAACTTATTGACGGCATACAACATAATCAAGACATACAACATATTGAGGACATACAACATAGCGAGGACATACAACTTATTGAGCACATACAACATATTAAGGACATACACCATATTGAGGACATACAACATAATGAGGACATACAACATATTGAGGAAATTTTTTGCAGACACAAACATACTAAATTCCATGATTCAAAAAAAAATTATATTATCTGGGCGATATGTTATGGGGAGGTGGGCGATATGTTTGGGGAGGTGGGCGATATGTTATGGGGAGGTGGGCGATATGTTATGGGGAGGTGGGCGATATGTTATGGGGAGGTGGGCGATATATTATGGGGAGGTGGGCGATATGTTATGTGGAGGTAGGCGATATGTTATGGGGAGGTAGGCGATATGTAATGTGGAGACGGGCGATATGTTATGGGGAGGTTGGCGATATGTTATGTGGAGGTTGGCGATATGTTATGTGGAGGTAGGCGATATGTTATGGGGAGGTAGGCGATATGTTATGTGGAGGTAGGCAATATGTTATGGGGAGGTAGGCGATATGTTATGGGGAGGTAAGCGATATGTTATGGGGGGTGGGCGATATGTTATGGGGAGGTGGGCGATATGTTATGTGGAGGTGGGCGATATGGTATGTGGAGGTGGGCGATATGTTATGGGGAGGTGGGTGATATGTTATGTGGAGGTAGGCGATATGTTATGGGGAGGTGGGCGATATGTTATGTGGAGGTAGGCGATATGTTATGGAGAGGTGGGCGATATGTTATGTGGAGGTGGGCGATATGTTATGTGGAGGTAGGCGATATGTTATGGGGAGGTGGTCGATATATTATGTGGAGGTGGGCGATATGTTATGTGTAGCTGGGTGATATATTTTGTAATAAGATATTTGGAGCTGGGCGATACGTTATGTACTAAGTTATGTGGAGCCGGGCGATATGTTATGTACTAAGTTATGTAGACCTGTGCGATATGCTATGTAATAAGTTATGTGGGGCCGGGCGATGTGCTATGTAATAAGTTATGTGGGGCCGGACGATATGCTATGTAATAAGTTATGTGCAGCTGGGCGATATGTTTTGCACAATATGTGTCACCTTATATTTATTGTTATGTTAATATTTAAGCTTAATTGGACATTTGTAACTATTATTAACCAATTATGTGTAGTCCTATGTAATTGTTACCGTCAGAGTGACAAAGCGGGCATTGTATATAGTACCTAGGCATTATTTAGAATTCACAAAATATCAAGGTAAGAGTCGCACAAAATCATCAGTGCACATTGCCGACAGCAGATTGCCGACTTCGCTCTAGGAAAGATTTCCGACTTCGCCCTAGACAAGATTGCCGACTTCTTTCTAGGCAATCTGAGAAACAGCGCACAGCAGTAAAGACGGTGGAAAATTGCACAAGTTTTTTTTGAGATGGCGCCTGGGACGAAGCCACGCCAAAGTCACAGGCAGAGGGGGCACTCACAAATACAAGCAACTTACAAGATGATATGTGTTTCAGGGCATGTATATTGTCTATTTTTAAATGTTTGTGTCCTGGAATGTGGTGCGACACACTACGTTCATAGGCAACTAAACATGGTGCTAACATGGATAAAGCTCATTGCACAAAAACAACAAAAAAGGGGAAATTCCGTAGGACTGCAAAGAGAGGTGCATAGTTACAAATCTGACCCTCGCTCAACCTTGGTTATTAAATTATAACAACTAGATGGAGCCCACCAAACATTGGCGACAGCAATGCGTGAACTTCCTATCTACTAAAGTTACCTGACAAAGCATGAACTCAAGTAACGCACATTTAAGAATCTCAATAGTTGCTACACCCCTTCCCCACACTTTTTATTTCACGCCCATGAACTATATTAATATTCTCATGTCCCAACCACTTTTAAACCGAATATTTTTTTTTACAAAATATTTAAATTGAGACGATTTCATTTCCGAAAAGAAAATATTACGCACCAAACGCAATTAGATTGCGTTATTAAAAAAAAATATATATATGTATATCATTTAGCGTAGTTATCGGGAATTATATTTTGCGCGCTAGCGAACTCATTTAACCACACTTTGGCGTATCTATATATATAGCCTGCGTGGTGGTGTTTGACCTTTGCTGGCGAATTCTATATATAGATCCGTTTTAAAGGTAGAACCCAAGGAATAAGACACAAGCGTTGACGTGACCGTATGTAAGAGCAACTTACAAAATGCTTCCTGGAGTGAAATTCAGGGGTCGACCCAGTGGCGGAGCTAGGGTTATTGCCGCCCGCGGTGGGTTAAGATTTTTTCTACTCACCCTTATCAAAATAAAATCTGCAGGTAGCCGCCCCTTAATATAAAGCAAACCGCCCACCCACACCCCTACGCCAGTGGGTCTGTCCGACAACATGTTGCTGAACTGAATCGCCATTTGGAGTGTTCAATTAAGTTCATTGGGTGTACTTATATTGGTGGGCTTTCTGACGCAAGGTGTGCACCCCACAGTGGGGCATTTAATCTCTGAAGTAGGGAACATGTTTTGCGTTTCTTAAGGGCAATGTTGGACAAGGCTTAGGGTTGTCAGATGGTATCCAAAAGGAGGACATGTCCTTAAACTGTCCTCCTTTTTCTAAAATTCTTGTGCAGTGTAAAGCTAAAAAGTAATGTTTCACCTTTCACTAACTAGTAGGCACCGTGTATTTCAGGCCAACCTGGCAGCTGCACAGCAAGAAGAGAACTCAGTGCTGGACATTGTGAACATCTTAGAATCAACATGGCGGGTTACTGCGAAATAGAACTGAAGACCTATGTGTGCCCTTAAAAGGGAAACAGCTTGCTCTTCAAAACAATGTTTGGAAGTAAGAAGAGCAGGACATATAAAACATGTTGGATGTAACCAATTTCAACATGTTTATAAAATATCATCTCTTGAGTACGTGGAGAAGTGGATCCAACAACTGTGTGAGTTATTGTGTGTTGGGCGGGTAGTACTTAAAGAACACAAGAAGTACCATCAGTGGCGTTGCTAGGGTGCACGGGAGGTGCGGACCGCACCGGATGACACCTTGCAAGGGGGTGACGCCGAATTGAAAAAAAAATGCATATTTACAAATGACACACTGCTCGGTCAAACCGTATTTCATAACCGACAAGGATAACCGATCACACGTATTTTTTAAACTCGTGTAACCAATCCAAATGCGTGCTTTATTAAAAGTTCAAGGTTAATGCGTAAAAATGAGGTGCCCTTATAATTAGGTCAGAAAAACACCATTATGGCCACGATTCAATGCCGATTGAAGTGTTAAGTAACTTTCGTAAATGACAGGAAGCGATATTTATCTAAATTCTGAGAAATGAAGCTTTATATAAATACCATATGATCGAGAGATTGTAAGTACACGAATCGAATGGTGAAAAAATATTAAAACATAAACAAATGAATTTGTAACCACTTATAGGGTAAAAAATATATTTTACACTATGATCTAATATCTTTTTATAATTAATTAAAATATTTGTTCAAAGTGGGATTTCGGAACCTAATATACGGAAACCCAACAATGCTCAAAAACTCTTTTCCCCGATTCTTCACTAGCATAGCCCCTTACTATTCGAGCACGATTTTCATAAAGCACAAGGTCTTTTACATGCTGTCTTTGTTTTTACTTTCATCTGCTACATTTAACTTTGGGCTGATCTACTTATGGAAGTTAATCTTACACAGCAGTATGTGAAGACTAAAGGGTTTACTCTTGACAAAGTGGGGACCAACCTAGAGAACTTAAGATTGTTTCTGCACGAGAAGCGCTGTCACTTGGTGGAAGATGCTATTTAAATTGGACTTTTGAAAGCAGACTGATTTGGAATTTCTGTAGAGACAAGATTAAGGTTTAGGAAGCGAAGGGCAGGAGAACAATTAATAGATGCTGAACTTCGACTGTAGGGAGATGCTGGAGTGCATTGATTGCTTCCAATCTGAACTCTTAGATCAGATCATCAGCGACCAAGAAAGTAGCAGATATGTTTGGGGCTGTTCAACTTCAACCCAAGAGTCAGCAAGTAAAGAAGAGTTATTGGTGGTCCGTTCAAACGTTAACCTCTTTCTATTGATGAGTTATCAGAAGATGAACTTTGAAAAGAAATGCTAAGGCTTAGAAGACACCTAAAGGCAGGTGAACGCTCCTTCTGCTTCCATGGGCCCACGTTCTGGAACCAGCTCCCCTTCCATATACGTCATAGTGAAACCTCGTCCATTTTCAAAAAGTCCCTTAAAACTCATCTGTTTAGGTCCGCCTATGACCTGTGATGCACCCTCCTTGCCCTACCTCATTTTCTGTTTCGGGTTGATCCTGAAGTGTCAAAGTGTCCTCGTTTTATAGCCATTTTCATTGTTTCTATAGAATAGTAGTTACTATCCTAGTGTCTCATTTGTATTTACTTAGTTTACATGTTTTAATAACTGTAAAGCGCTTAGAGCTTTATGATAAGCGCTATATAAAAATGCCTAAATAAATAAATAAATAAATATCGAGTTTCACAAAGTCATGGACTGGTCAGTAATTAATGTTTTGAAATGGGAGTTCCTAGAATGTCTTCCAAAACTCTCGCCAGGTCTACGATTGTTTCTTAAGATATGTGTGACTGTGGCTTCATGTGAGAGGGGCTTTTCAAACCTAAGGCTTATCAATAACTATTCACGATCCACCATGGGGCAGTCAAGGGCTTCTCATCTATATCTACTATCAACTGAAGGTCTAACGTTGATTTTGACCTAGTGATTGACAGCAGGTTTTCAGCTTTGAAAACCAGAAAAGCAAAATTTAAAATGAAGTCAATTTAATGTAAATATAACTACCTGTATAACATACCGTTGTTACAGTTCTTAAATACATTTACCTCCTGACCTTCAATCCAGTTGTTTTTGTTCTTGTCATTGTTATACTGTGGACTTATTTTAACAAGAAGAAATCCATCGTTGAAGTCAGCGGGAGGGGGGTGGGTGACACCATGAGTTTACCGTACCGGGTGACACCAAAGTTTAGCTACGCAACTGAGTACAAATGTAACAATTTTATTTCTTGTATTGACTTATTGCAATACTGGGGTGTTAATATTGATATCATGTGAAACTGTATGACCAATTTCGTAACCTTGTAGTGCCATTTGGCAGATCTGAAGACAAAGGGATTATCCTCATACAAGACACTTTCAGCATGAACAATGGACGGTATTTTGTCAAATCTTGCACAAGTATGACATTTTTTTTTCTTCGAATTATTGAAAATGTAGGTATTTTATTTTTGCATTCCTGCTCATTATCAACATGTGGAGAGTGTTCATAGGAACAATGAGCGGAATAGACTTGATGTGGAGACATTGAAATCAATAATACATACACGGTACAATGTTAAGAATATGACTTGCTTGGATTTTTATAGTGACTGCTTAAGAAATAAAGAATTTATTTTTTTTAAAAACCAGCTAGCTCTGAGAAATATTTTTAAATGCTTTTTAAGTTTCCAAGTTATGTATAGAGTTCGATTAATGTTGCAGTTATTTGTTTTATTTCAGAAACAAACGTTTAGTTAATATCTGAAATTTAGATTAATTAAGAAATGTCCTCCTTTCAAAATAAAATGTCACCCATTTCACATTTTCAATATGAAATGTCCTCTTTTATCGTTGCTACACCTGGCAGCCCTTTTATAAACGTCAATCAGTTATTGTTTTATGGCCACGAAATTGAAATTTCCTGATTTCAATCGTATAAGTGTTTTTATTTTAGGGATGCAGATCGGGGAGACAGTAAACCAATTTTTCACCGAAAATCTGACTTCACTATATGTTGCGTGATGCGACTCAGGTGGCAAAAACAAAGGATTGGGAAGCACTGGCTTATTTTAAGACTACCCTCTTCCTCCTTGCCCCACCAGTAAACGGATGCATTAAAATTCAGACTTTGTAGACTACTGCAGTGCACATCGAGACTGTCAGAATGGTATCTGATGTGGGCTACCATTGCTGTCAATCTGATGTGTGCTAACATTGCTGTCACTTTGAATTTTCGCTCTTCCACTAATTCTTTCCAGTCATTCACCAGGAGACTGTTGGTCAACTCATTAGGAGACTGTTGGTCAACTCACTAACCAGAGGACTTTTGGTCAACTAACTAGACATGAAACTGCTGGTCAACTCACTAGACAGGAGACTGTTGGCACTAGCCAGGAGACTGTTGGTTACTGCACTAGCCAGGTGACTGTTGGTCAACTCACTAGACAGGAGACTGTTGGTCAACTCACTAGACATGAGACTGTTGGTCAACTCACTAGACAGGAGACTGCTGGTCAACTCACTAGCCAGATGATTGTTGGTCAACTCACTAGACATGAAACTGCTGGAAAACTCACTAGACAGGTGACTGTTGGTCAACTCACTAGACATGAGACTGTTGGTCAACTCACTAGCCAGGTGACTGTTGGACAACTCACTAGACGGGATGCTGTTGGCACTAGCCAGGAGACTGTTGGTCAACTCACTATACAGGAGACTGATGGTCAACTCACTAGACAGGAGACTGTTGGTCAACTCACTAGACAAGAGACTGTTGACACTAGTCAGGACACTGTTGGTCAACTCACTAGACAGAAGACTATTGGTCAACTCACTAGACAGGAGACTGTTGGTCAACTCACTAGACAAGAGACTGTTGACACTAGCCAGGAGACTGTTGGTCAACTCCCTAGACAGGAAACTGTATATCAATTCATTAGATTAAGAGATCACCAAGTACGCTGAAAAACCTAGGACTGTTTTTTAAAGAAATATTTTTAAAAATGTTCATTGATGTAAAAATGTTCATTGATGTAAAAATGTTCATTGATATAAAAATGTTCATTGATGTAAAAATGTTCATTGATGTAAAAATTTTCATTGATGTAAAAATGTTCATTGATGTAAAAATGTTCATTGATGTAAAAATGGGTGACATAAATTGATTGAGAAAGCTATTTGGTTTTGTTTTTTAAAAAAAGGTTATCAACCGTTATTTTGTATTCCTTTCGCCGTGTCGTGTCATGTGTAGGTTTGACCAACATACTACTTTAGGAAATAAGTTTCGTCCAGTTTTCCCGCGGGTAACGATGGCAACTGCCCTCAAACCGAACATAGACGTGGCCTTCGTACACGTAGAACTCATCGCTGTCGGACCTCGGCCTGCAGGGCTTAACGCAGAACTCCACAACGACCTTGTCCATGACCTCGCCGTCCGCGTCCTTGACCTGCGCAAAGTTCACCGAGTAATCTGACTCCGTGATGTGGGGCGTGATGCGACCCACGACGATGTTGATGTTTCGGTGGATTCTCGCCCGTCCCGATGCGGTAATGGTCAAGCCCTTGACCACGCCGGAGTCGTCGACCCCAAAGTACAGGATGCCGCCCCCGGAGTTGAGGAAACCGCAAAGGTATTTGCCGAGCAGTTCCTGGAATCTTTTATTCTTCGAGATGTAACCGCCGGCCTTGAATTCCATCTGGCGCGACTCAAACCCGATGTTCTGACCGTAGGTGTAAAAGACCGTCAGGGGGCAGTCGCATGGCGGCAGGCTGGGCATGGACGTCTTGCTGTCAACCAGGACAGGAGCGGACGTCACCTGAAAACATGGATAGGGAATGTATGTGTTGATGGCAGACCAGGACAGGTGCGGGCGCCATCTGAAAACATGGATAAGGAATGTATGTGTTGATGGCAGACCAGGACAGGTGCGGGCGCCATCTGAAAACATGGATAAGGAATGTATGTGTTGATGGCAGACCAGGACAGGTGCGGGCGCCATCTGAAAACATGGATAAGGAATGTATGTGTTGATGGCAGACCAGGACAGGTGCGGGCGCCATCTGAAAACATGGATAAGGAATGTATGTGTTGATGGCAGACCAGGACAGGTGCGGGCGCCATCTGAAAACATGGATAAGGAATGTATGTGTTGATGGCAGACCAGGACAGGTGCGGGCGCCATCTGAAAACATGGATAAGGAATGTATGTGTTGATGGCAGACCAGGACAGGTGCGGGCGCCATCTGAAAACATGGATAAGGAATGTATGTGTTGATGGCAGACCAGGACAGGTGCGGGCGCCATCTGAAAACATGGATAAGGAATGTATGTGTTGATGGCAGACCAGGACAGGTGCGGGCGCCATCTGAAAACATGGATAAGGAATGTATGTGTTGATGGCAGACCAGGACAGGTGCGGGCGCCATCTGAAAACATGGATAAGGAATGTATGTGTTGATGGCAGACCAGGACAGGTGCGGGCGCCATCTGAAAACATGGATAAGGAATGTATGTGTTGATGGCAGACCAGGACAGGTGCGGGCGCCATCTGAAAACATGGATAAGGAATGTATGTGTTGATGGCAGACCAGGACAGGTGCGGGCGCCATCTGAAGACAGGGAAAGGGAATGTGTGTGTGTTGACGGCAGGAGTGTAGAAATGGAAGGTTATGGACTAAATGACGAGACCTGACCCAAATAATCCTAAGCGCGGTAGATGAATCTAGAGCAAGAGTCTCAAATTGATCAGAGTGTCGGAAGTACACAGAGAGCAGCAGTATCTGATATATGTATATATATATATATATATATATATATATTTTAAAATGATAAAACGTAAAAAAAAAAAAAATCAATCAATATAATTCGAACACAGCGCTGAACCAATTGTCCTGAATCTATTGATTCAAACTAATCCGTCACGTGGATATAATGACTGGATTTGTTTTACGTTTCGGTCAGACTGTCTTTTGACGACTTAGCTAGCAACGTTTTGCTTCAACAAGGACCTCGGTACTAGGTTTCTAAATCCTGAGAAGGGCCCCGATCTCAGGGTTGATTGCAACTGTTCATCAGTGAGTCGTACGTTAACACCGACTTGTTGATCGTCATGCTCATATACATCTGGACATCCAAAATATGACCTCAGCACAGACTTGTTAACCCTTCATGTTCACATGCATATGTACATCCAAAATATGACCTCAGCACAGACTTGTTAACCCTTCATGTTCACATGCATATGTACATCCATACATGGCAATAATACATTTTTTGTTGCCTTTGGTTGTTGTTTTTTGTTGTTGTTGTTTTGTTTTTTTATTTATTTTTTTGTCTTTTATTTTTTTGATTTTTAAAGTGAAGCCATTATACTGGTTTTAATGTTTGTAATTAAAAATAGAAACCATCAAAACAAAGTTTTCCGAAATAAATAATTTCTAAGCATTTTAAAATTATTTTATATTAATTTTCTAACGTCCCAGCAGCTTTTAAGCCTCAGATTTTAAGCCTCAGATTTATTACAAAAACTATTTCAGAAAAAGAAAAGAAAATATTACCCACCAAACGCACGTGCGATGTTTATTTTTAAAGAATCTCATTTGGCGCAGTTGTCGGGAATTTTGGTTTGTGAAATTGGTGTCATCATATGTCATTCAGCTTTCCATTTTAAAAATATTTTAAAAAACAGGAAAAACTAATTTTGGGGGGTTTGGAGGGTGGGGCTGAAAATCGGAATGTATTGTCATCGGCAAAGAATCAATGTGCCAAGTTTCAGCTCGATGGGTTGACGGGAGGTGGTTCAATTGGCCGTCCGAATATTTTGCCACACACCCTGACAGAAAGGAGGAAACTCGTGAACAAGAATGAAGTTAATATCAAGGATTTAACAAATGCATTGAATTCGGCTGTAGAATTCATCATCAACTCAATGACTCGGCTCAAACAGCGGGCTGGGTAAGTTCGGGTGAATGAAAGGTACCGGTGATGGAGTAGAACTGTGTGTGTGTGCACATGAGTTTGTAAGGAGGCAGAATATGAAAGGACACATGAGTTTGTAAGGAGGCAGAATGTACAAGGACACAATAGTTTGTAAGGAGTCAGAATATGCAAGGACACTTGAGTTTGTAAGGATTGGGACATGCACTCCTCCTCAACTTAGCACCTACTGATTGGGACATGCACTTCTCCTCAACTTAGCACCTACTGATTGTGACATGCACTCCTACTCAACTTAGCACCTACTGATTGTGACACGCACTCCTCCTCAACTTAGCACTTACTGATTGTGACATGCACTCCTCCTCAACTTAGCACCTACTGATTGTGACATGCATTGCTCCTCAACTTAGCACCTAATGATTGTGAAATGCTTTCCTCCTCAACTTAGCACCTATAGGTTATTACATGTCCCCCAAAAGCCCAATAAAATTAGCAACAACAGTTTACAAACTCAACCCCCATCTTTTCTACGACCTAAACTATAGTGTCAAATAATCCTGACTTACCGAACAGATGTCTACTTAAGTTTAGAACTTAAACAAGAAAAAACATTCATTAAAAACAAAACACAACATATTTAAACAGTTGTTGGATGAAACAATGAAACAGTTGTTGGATGAAACAATGAAACAGTTTTTTGATGAAACAGTTCTTTGATGAAATAATAAAACAGTTGTTTGATGAAATTAATGAAACAGTTGTTTGATGAAACAATGAAACAGTTGTTGGATGAAACAATGAAACAGTTGTTCGATGAAACAGTTGTTTGATGAAACAGTTTTTTGATGAAACAGTTGTTTGATGAAACAATGAAACAGTTGTTTGATGAAACAATGAAACAGTACAAGCAGACAAAGAGTTTCCCGTTTAGCCATCTACAGATGATGAACTGTCTATCCTTGCAAGCTGACGTCAATACGGTCATTTCGGTTACCTTCCCAATACGGTCATTGTGTTTACATTTTTCAATACACATTTTTGTTAACATTGTCAATACTTATACTGTTTACAGGTATCAATACAGTAGTTATGTTTACCGTATCAATAAAGTTTAGCTATGTTTACCGCATCAATACAGTGGTTATGTTTACCGTATCAATACAGTTAAGTTTGTTTACCTTATCAATACAGTAGTTATGTTTACCGTATCAATACAGCAGCTGTGTTTACTGTATCAATACAGTTCGTTATAAATGTCGATAGCAAAATTTGTCGTTAAATTCAATGAAACGCTCACACCTCGATAGTACCCTTTAAGGCTCGTTTATTGCGAAGAACACAATGCTTGGAAATTAAGATCATCACCATAACCTGTCTGGTTACTTTCAGCTTTAAATAACTTTTTGCTTGATTTTCAGCAGACTACATTGTGAATTTTTGGTCAGGACAAACTGTCGCGATAGAGTTCTGCATAATTGTGTCTAGATGGTTTGGCGTGAACTGTTTTTTTTAGAATGTCTTCAGCCTACATATGATAACCATCGAGTGTAATGGTGCGCACTGGCCTCTCTTCTCCAATGCGATCACCATCGTTTGTACCGGTGCGTAATGGCTTCTCCCCTCGAATATGATCATCACTGCTTGCAATGGTTCGTACTAGCCTCCGTTCTCCAAAAATGATGACCATACCTGGTACATGTGCGTACTAGCCTCTCTCCTCCAATACGATCACCATAGCTTGGACTGGTGCGTACTAGCCTCCGTTCTCCAAAAATGATCACCATACCTGGTACATGTGCGTACTGGCCTCTCTCCTCCAATACGACTTTCCGTTATACGTGTACGGAGAGTCAACGTCTTCCGCGGGCTTCAGCGGTTTGATGCACACCTCCATGACGCACACCTGACCAGGCGTTGGTAAGTCTCTCACCTTTATCTTATTGATCTGAATATCAGTCTTTTCTATTCGCGGCCTGATGTAATTCGGCACACCCCTTATTGCATTTTGGAATAGCAAGAACTGCTCCTCCTTACATGGGATCCCTATGACCTTGCCGTTATCTTCAACGCCGAGATACATGATGCCGCCGCCTCCGTTCAAGAAAGCACAGACGTACTTGCCGACCAGGTCGACGTTTTCTTGCAGCCTCATGTTCCATTTGCCACACTTAAACTCCATGGTCTTGGACTCGAACCCGATCGTCTCACCGTACTTGTAGAAGAACCTCTCGTGGCATTGGCACGGCGGCAGGGTCGGCATGGACGTTTTACTAGTGACAAGAGTGTGAGCCCTTTGTTGGGGTGGCTGTGAACATTGATAGGGTAGAGATTAGTTCCAAACTAGAAATTAAGGCAGAAATAGAGAGCAACAACAACAACAGAAAGAAAGAAAGAAAAAGTTGTGGAGTTTAATACCATAATGGATACTAAGGCGAGGGTGGGAGGGGGGGGAGGTCTTAATGCCATAGTGGATTTTGATGAAGGATTTAGATTTTAATGATTTATTGAGATTTTAATGATTTATTTACATTTTAAGGTCACAATTATATTTCAATGCAGCATTTAGATTTTAAGGCCGCAGTTAGATTTAATGACTTATTTAGATTTTAGGGTGGTATTAAGATTTTAGGGTGGTATTTAGATTTTAGGGTGGTATTTAGATTTTAGGGTGGTATTTAGATTTTAGGGTGGTATTTAGATTTTAGGGTGGTATTTAGATTTTAGGGTGGTATTTAGATTTTAGGGTGGTATTTAGATTTTAGGGTGGTATTTAGATTTTAGGGTGGTATTTAGATTTTAGGGTGGTATTTAGATTTTTAGGCCGTATTCAACTTTTAAGGCCGTAGTTAGATTTAATGCCTTATTTAGAATGTCATGCTTAAGAAGACTTTAAATTAAAGTGGACCTTAAGGAAAACTTCGATCGTGTGTGAAAGTAGAACACAATATCTTAAATGAAAAAGTAGCTCGCATGTAGGGACCGGACTTATCCGATGAGGGACACTGAGCTATTCAAATGTTGAGGCCCTTTTTACACCTGTTTGCACCTGCACACACAATAGTTAGCAGTTGTTTACTATTTTATATTCGTTGGTAAATGTTATTTTTAATTCTATTCTAAAAGATATTTATTTTTATGACCTAGAATTGCATTCTTGTATGAATTAATGTCTACCTGAAACTGCAGCACTAAAAATGTCTTGTTGTTCAACAGTGTGTTTCAGAATATGTTTAAATGAATAAACAAAAGCAAATTAACAATACGGGGAATCCATCTGTATCTTTTCATCGTATATAATTTGATAAAGCCCACGTGAGAAAGAATTAGCCCTTCTGTGCAGTGCCGGCTTTAGGTACAGGCCATATAGTCTTCCGGCTTTAGGTACAGACGATAAATTAAGCCGGCTTTAGGTACAGGCGATATAGCCTGCAGGCTTTAGGAACAGCGTGCCGGTTTGGATACAGGTGATAAAGTCTGCCGGCTTTAGGTACAGGAGACGGCCTGGAGTGTTTTTTTTAAAGGGGTTGAAAATTCCAGAAAAAAATTAGATACAAAATTAAAAAATACAGACACTATCTTGACCATCATCAAAATCCTGACCATTATCGAAATTTTGACCATGATCCAAATCTCGCCCCATAAAAGAATGAAAGAATATGTTTTAAGATACCGCTCTTCATTCAGATTGGTACAGATATCTGAGTGAATTTATATGAATTTTACATAAGCCTCAGAGGTTTGGTGGCCCACAACTATTGGTACAGTTACTTACTTATGCCTTTCTACCCCGTCTGGGGCATAGGCCATCTACAAGAACTTTCCACTCCTCACAGCCCTGTGCTTTCCTTTCCAATTACTTCCAGGTGTATCCCATATTTTGCGTGTCAGCCTCTAGGTCGCGTCTCCGTGTATTCTTAGGCCTTCCTCTCTTTCTTTTTCCCTGTGGGTTCCATGTTAGACATTGTGTGGTAGTGCTATCTGGGGGTTTTCGGAGCATATGTCCTATCAATCTCCACCTCTTCTTTATGATATCTTCATCAATGGGCATCTGGTGTGTCCTTTCTAGTAAATCTTTGTTATTGATAGTATTTGGCCATTTGATTTTCAGGATCTTGGTACATTTATCTGAGTGAATTTATTTGAATTTTACTTTACCCTCAGAGCGTTTGGTGGCCCACAACTATTGGTAAAGTTATCACAGTGACTTTACTTAAATTTTACCCTCAGAGTGTTTGGTGGCCCACAACTATTGGTAAAGTTATCACAGTGACTTTACTTAAATTTTACCCTCAGAGTGTTTGGTGGCCCACAACTATTGGTAAAGTTATCACAGTGACTTTACTTAAATTTTAGCCTCAGAGTGTTTGGTGGCCCACAACTATTGGTAAAGCTATCACAGTGACTTTACTTAAATTTTAGCCTCAGAGTGTTTGGTGGCCCACAACTATTGGTAAAGTTATCACAGTGACTTTACTTAAATTTTAGCCTCAGAGTGTTTGGTAGCCCACAACTATTGGTGCAATAAATCTGCAATGTCAATGGGTCTGGGACATAAGTGCAGTGTTTCTCAAACTGAGGTCCCTGTTTACAGGGGGTGGAACGTGAAGGGGTCACTAAGATACAAATTGTGTGCTATTTGCGCTTGTCGCCTTTGGTTGCGATGTCCCGTGGAGGATTCAAATTTCGTTCCCATGGGACTTGGTGTCTTCACTAAATTTTGAGAAACGCTATCATAGTGTAGTGGTATAGGCACACTTCTTTCTCGAATCCAGCAGAGAGAGAGCGTTGAATTTTTAGGCCCACTGTCTTCCTAGAAATCGTTCGCATATTGTGAAGCGTCAACAATCTGGGGAGTCATTTCAGTTAGTATCTATCTCTCAGATCTCCAACAGCCGGCCTGTCAGTTAGTATCTATCTCTCAGATCTCTAACAGCCGGCCTGTCAGTTAGTATCTATCTCTCAGATCTCCAACAGCCGGCCTGTCAGTATCTATCTCTCAGATCTCCTACAGCCGGCCTGTCAGTATCTATCTCTCAGATCTCCAACAGCCGGCCTATCAGTTCCTAGTAACCAAGAGCCACACTTAGAGCTGACCAGAGGATGGGACAGTGGGTTGGGCGGACTAGGCGTCTCCAAACTCTCTTGTGTTTACTTAAGTTTTTACAGTCCCCCGCTGGAGAAAGATTGTGTGTAAGAACTTTCTCCATCTTTGTTTTATGCCCAACAGCCTATCTTCTTCAACCCATTTTTTTCCTTGGTAAAATTTTCTTTTCTAAATGATTCTAGCACTACTTTGGACGTTCTTTTATCTGAATTCATTGGATTATTTAATGTATGTTTCATTGTTAACTTTAAAAAATATTAATTGCTCATTTTATTTTGATTTCAAGTAGGTTTTTTTTTTCTCTCATTGATTATAATGCGTTCCTAAAACGTAAATCAGATCTGAGGTTTCATGTTTGAAAGTTGGTTTTACCGTAATAAAGTCTAGTGGGGAAGAGAAACCACGGTGTCTTTTGTGTTCTGGTGTGTTGTCGTCCACTTCTCTGTGGCCCAGCTGGTTAAAAAGACACTTGGAAACTCAGCATTCCAACTTAATAAACCAAGATGTCGACTTCTTTAAACACCAAGCCAAACGATGGCGCAAATCCAGGCTTGATGACACGTAAATGTTTTTGCAGAAAATTGAGGCTTGTCTAAAAGCATCCTTTGCTGTTTTGAGAACAACAGCTGCCGCCAAGAAACCTCCCACAGCATCTGAGAACAGCTGATATCACCTTGCTGGAAAGATCTCATATCGAATGCGCTGGGAAGTTCTGAGCTCGAGGAGCTAAGGCACGTTCCCCCGCCAAACGGTACTGTCAGGAGGCGAATAGCGGAGATGTCCTATAACATAAGAACAGTCACGCAGGTTCAGAATTCAAATTTCAACTTCTTTGCGATTCCGCTTGGATGGAACGATGGTTGTCGCTGAGTGTCACTGGGTGTCGCCGGGTGTCGCTGGAAGTCACTGGGTGTCACCGGGAGTCACCTGGTGTCACTGGGTGTCGCCGGGTGTCACAGGGTGTCGCTGGGTGTCGCCGGGTGTCACTGGGTGTCGCCGGGCGTCGCCGGGTGTCGCCAACTAAGCCAAACTTTGCGTTTACCTGTCATTGGGATATGACAAGCAACTGGAAGATGATTTATTTTTTTTTTGCGAAACTCTCAGCGCCAGAAAGACTGCAAAATAAATATTTGATAAAGAGGACATATTCTTTGAGGTGCATGGTGTCAAATGGGAATATGTCATTGGCGCGTGGACTAACGGCGCTCCATGCTTGAATGCCGTACCGGTTTTCAACCTTGATTTAAGCAAATTTCCCCCAAACATTAGAGGTAGAAGTTGAACGATTCATCGCCAAGCCTGAATGGTGAAAACCATGCCTGGTGAATTGACAAAATGTTCAGCAGGGAACCTCACAACTACCATAACAACATATCGTCTGGTTGATTTAGTTACAACATCCAGAGAAATAAACGATTGGAGAAGGGTTAGATGTGACCGAAATAGTACAGGATTCCTGCTCCTCCGGCAATTGTGAAGGAAGGTCCTCGTTGACTTGAATTCAACTGTTCCTCATTTGACACTCTTGACACTTTTATGTCTTTGCCACAGTCACAGGATTGGTTTGTTGCGGTAGTGGACATAATGTTTAAGTGGTCATCAGGTGTGCAAGAAAACTGTAGTCATCTTGAAACTGACCATCAGTTACAACAAAAACAAATCTTGATGTTACAGCATGATGTTACAACAAACTTGCCAAGGTAATCATTTCAGTTTATGTCAGTTGGGCCACCTACACATTATAATAAATTGTTAGTCACATAGCTTCATCACTCAGATGTATCATTTGAAATCAATAGGGCATTTTTGAGTTTCTTGGAAATGTAAGAAAACTAGTTAAAATAGATGAAAGCAATTCTATTTTTATTATATGAAATGTATAAAAAAAAAAGAGCACAGAAAATGGCTCATCACCAGGTATGATCAGGGGCGCATTTGGTGTCTTTGCCTATAGCACAAAACTCCCGAAAGCCGGCACTGCTGATGTGGGCCGATGTGGGCCGATGCATTGTTTAGCATACCAATGTGTCAAAGGTTATCCTTATATCCTTAATTTCAACATCGAAATCGTTGGTATATACTGTCAGTTCAAAAGTTAAACTCTTTACTGAATCCTCTTGATTAGAGAACATCAGACTATCAGTGTATCAGTACCAGATCCAGTACCAGTATCAGTACACACACAAATGTACTGACGCATGCACACACACACACACACATTGTTGTGCCTTGTAACTATACAAAGTCGCTGTTCTTATTAAATTTGATTCAAGTGTATCTGAATCTAAGAACAAATAAATTTCTTGTAAATTTGTCTTTTGGAGATAGTTCGTCTAATTCAGTGGATCTCAACCTTCCTAATGCCACTACCATTTAAAATATAGTTCCTCATGTTGTGGTGCCCCCAAACCATGACATTATTTTCGTTACAACTTCATAAATATGTGTTTTCCGATGGTCTTATGGGTCGTTCGTAAATTGCGTCACGCAAATAAAATGACATTTTAAGACCCCCCCCCCACACTTAGTGTCATGTCACACCTAAAAAAATCAAAGCATACATAAAATTGTCATAACGAAACTAAGATTTTATTATTTAACATTTTCCCCATAATGGATCAAGATGTTTTATTATTAGAAAAATGTGACGCGAAACAACAAAATCATCCACAAGCCACACTTTTTGCGTCTTTTTTCGATATGCGCAGAAGGTATGCGCCACTGACTTTCATGATACCTATAATACCTGAGGCAATTTCGACCTCAAATTAACGTTTTTTCAAATTAATTGAATAAAGATTTGTCAAAATTAGAACATTAAGACTTTTAAAAAATAATTTTAAAAAACGTGACGTCACAATTTTTTACCCCCTACCCACCTGTCACGAAGTGTCCACAAATTCTCGACCCCCTCACTCCCTGAGCGTGACGTTGTTTGCGAAAGACCCCTTAGGCGACACCTGTGTAAGAGTCGGTCGTTCGACCCCCAAAGGGGTCGCGACCCACAGGTTGAATGAGAACCACTGGTTTAATGTATTAGGTGCGACTCCTTTATTTACTTGTAGTTGACCCATATCTTGAACATCTTTAGACAATTTTGTGGTCATCATCCCGTTCGTTGCTCAAGTTGACTGAAACTTTCTCTCATTTTCTTTTAAAATTCTTCAGTCAACAATAGTACATTGTTTCAGAGCTCCCCGTTCATTCTCGATAGTTTATAAATCGCTTTACGGACAACGTTTAACAAAACCTACCAAAAAATTATTCCATTTTCTAAAAAAAATATCATTTCTATAGAGCCTGGTACCAAACTTTTCCTTTAACATTAGATTATACATATTTAATTTAATCTTTTTGTTTTTTTTTAAATTATATTTAAATTAAATCTAATTTATTATTCTTTTTAATGTGATTTAATTGCAATTTGTAAATTGTAAAAGTATTTTTTTCCTTGAAGTAAGCCCTGGAATAAATCAAATGTGGCTTCTTAAATTTTCAGGCCCCCTGGAATTTTGGAGGCCTGTGCCTACTTAGTCTATAGGGAAATATGGCCCTGGTCGTCTGCCAGAGTAAAACAAGATAGCGGAAGGAAAAAGTAGGTCGTTTGCCAAAGAAGAACAAGACAGCTGAATGAAAAAGTAGGTCATATGCCAAAGTAGAACAAGATAGCTGAAGGAAAAAGTAGGTCATATGCCAAAGTAGAACAAGATAGCTGAAGGAAAAAGTAGGTCATATGCCAAAGTAGAACAAGATAGCTGAAGATTACTAGACTTTAGCAACGTGATTTCAGGAAGATTTATCAATTATATTTTGGAGTTGTTTGACGGATGGCGTCACTTGGTGTCGTATTTGGTCATCATTTGCTGTCTTTGTAAAATGCGCGCACAGTTGAGTTTCCTCACCAGCACACATGAAGGGGAGCGAGGCAGTATGTTGATTGGCTGTTGACTCCGGTAATTGTTACAAGAAGATTAGTTGATACGTAAACATGTGAATGAATCATTTGTGCTCGGATCATTTAGAGGTAAAGATAGACGGCAGGGTCTCCCTACTTGGGAGTTTTTAGCCCCTTGGAGACTGGGGACCTGGAACTGCAGCGACACGAGATGTGCCCTTATTGTTGCCATGCTGTCCGATATTATGACAGGTTCTTGTGTGAGCCATGTTGCCATGTAGCCGAAATAATGACGGTTCTTGTGTGAGCCATGTTGCCATGTACCCGAAATAATGACCGGTTCTTGTATGAGCCATGTTGCCATGTAGCCGAAATAATGACAGGTTTTTGTGTGAGCCATGTACCCGAAATAATGACCGGTTCTTGTATGAGCCATGTTGCCATGTAGCCGAAATAATGACAGGTCCTTGTGTGAGCCATTTCGGTGAGACTGTGAATCAGTTTTCCGAAGCTTATATTTTGAGAGAGCTGTGTTAAGTGTGTGCACATCGAGCCGTCAAACCCCATCTTTGTGCGCCAAATTTGTAGTTATATTTGATTCTAACCGCTCAAAGTTGGCAATGATGCCGGTAAAGAAGATTGCTTCATCAACATTGCATATGCCAACTGATATTAAAAAATTGTTGTTCAGGGACATTTATGTGCAAACTCTTATATCCTGGAATGTTATGTGCAACAAACTCTTATATCCCGGGATGTTATGTGCAACAAACTCTTATATCCCGGAATGTTATGTGCAACAAACTCTTATATCCCGGAATGTTATGTGCAACAAATTCTTATATCCCGGAATGTTATGTGCAAGCTCATATATCCTGGACATTGCGTTGCTAAAAAAACTGCCATTTGATTATCCCCGCACTTAACGGCTTTTCTTTCTTCTTCCACTCCCCCTTAAGTCGACGCCTCTGTAGATGTAATGTGTTCTGAATGGAGACTTGCCAGACGACAATCTCCGTACGGCATATGACATCATAACGCTTACGTTCAGAATCACATCGATTCAGATATGCATTTGGGTTCTCTCTCGTGTGGCCCCTAAAAGGCGCGTGGCCCATAGGTAGATCCGCCGAGTGACTTTTAGAAGTGCCCTCATATTTGGGGTTTTGGGCCCCGCGCGTAAGGTTGATAGTTTTTCCGCATCGATGATTTGGGCCTCTTAAAGATTGGAGCCGAACGTGACGACTCTGCTAATATAAATTGCTTACGTATAGGTCAATCCGGCACTGTTACACGTTAACCCGACACCGTTGCGACCTCGCCATCTTTCTTATTTGTTATTGACCGGGTTGAATGTTTTAATTATCGAAGAGAACAACAGGAGTGTGACGATTTGGCGTGACAACAACATGAGTGTGACAACTTGATGTGTCGACAACAGGAGTGTGATAACTTGACATGTCAACAACAGGATGTTACAATAATAAATTGACTTCATTACGTTACTGTTAAATAATCAATTGACTACATTAAGTAACTGTTAAACCATCAATTGACTACATTAAGTAACTGTTAAATAATCAATTGACTACATTAAGTAACTGTTAAATAATCAATTGACTACATTAAGTAACTGTTAAACAATCAATCGACTACATTTTGAAACATTTCAGCCTTGTTTAACTATATTATGAAGCCTACCCCCAACCCCCAGTTTACAGATAAAAAGATTGGATAACACATCCCAGTTGATCGAAATGCGTTGTAGTGCTTTTTATTTTAAAAACTTCATTTCTACTGCACAACATCCTAGTAACATCTCTACTGCACAGCTTCCCAGTAACATTTCTACTGCACAACATCCTAGTAACATTTCTACTGCACAACATCCTAGCAACATTTCTACGGCACAGCTTCCCAGTAACATTTCTACTGCACAACATCCTAGCAACATTTCTACTGCACAACATCCTAGCAACATTTCTACTACACGACATCCTAGTAACATTTTTACTACACGACATCCTAGTAACATTTTTACTACACGACATGCTAGTAACATTTTTACTACACGACATCCTAGTAACATTTTTACTACACGACATCCTAGTAACATTTTTACTACACGGAATCCTAGTAACACTTGTACTACATGACATCCTAGTAACATTTTTACTACACGATATCCTAGTAACATTTTACTACACGACATCCAAGTAACATTTTTAATACACGACATCCTAGTAACATTTTTACTACACGACATCCTAGTAACATTTTTACTACACAACATCCTAGCAACATTTCTACTACACGACATCCTAGCAACATTTCTACTACAAACATTCTAGCAACATTTCTACTACACGACATCCTAGTAACATTTTTACTACACGACATCCTAGCAACATTTCTATTACACGACATCCTAGCAAAATTTCTACTACACGACATCCTAGTAACATTTTTACTACACACCACCTTAGTAATAAATCTACTACAAAACATCCTGCTAATAAATCTACTACACAACATCCCATTAACATTTCTCCTATACATTTGCAGCCAGTCATGCGTGATGCTCCATCAAATGTTGTACAACATCAGTTTCAAATCCTACACAACGGACACCCCAAGATAACTTAAGTGGAGGAGGGTGGTGGGTGGACATCAAAGTATTTAAGTGGTCATGTGAGGCAGGGAAGGTGGGGGGTTGAATACACAGTATCAAGTGGAGTCAGCTGAAACGCTTAGGTAAATATATATATATATAGACTGGAATATATACTAGGGGTTGAGGGTAACGGGGGGGGGGAAGTTGTTTTTTACACAGGATCCGGGTATTTTTTAGAAAATACCACGTGGTTCGAAGTGTTACACGAAAAATTAACTTCTCATTTTCTATCATATATGTCAGCCTTTCAACAATAGTCTCACAACCCACCTGCCAGTCTTTCAACTATAGCATCACACCCTACCTGCCAGCCTTTCAACAATAGTCTCACCCCCACCTGCCAGCCTTTCAACAATAGCATCACATCCTACCTGCCAGCCTTTCAACAATGGTCTCACACCCCACCTGCCAGTCTTTCAACAATAGCATCACACCCTACCTGCCAGCCTTTCAACAATAGTATCACACCCCACCTGCCAGCCTTTCAACAATTGCCTCACACCCCACCTGCCAGCCTTTCAACAATAGCCTCACACCCTACCTGCCAGCCTTTCAACAATTGCCTCCCACCCCACCTGCCAGCCTTTCAACAATAGTCTCACACCCCACCTGCCAGCCTTTCAACAATAGCATCACACCCTACCTGCCAGCCTTTCAACAATAGTCTCACCCCCACCTGCCAGCCTTTCAACAATAGCATCACACCCTACCTGCCAGCCTTTCAACAATAGTCTCACACCCCAACTGCCAGCCTTTCAACAATAGCATCACACCCTACCTGCCAGCCTTTCAACAATGGTCTCACACCCCACCTGCCAGCCTTTCAACAATAGCATCACACCCACCTGCCAGCCTTTCAACAATAGTCTCACACCCCACCTGCCAGCCTTTCAACAATAGCATCACACCCTACCTGCCAGCCTTTCAACAATAGCATCACACCCCACCTGCCAGCCTTTCAACAATAGTCTCACACCCCACCTGCCAGCCTTTCAACAATAGCATCACACCCTACCTGCCAGCCTTTCAACAATAGTCTCACCCCCACCTGCCAGCCTTTCAACAATAGCATCACACCCTACCTGCCAGCCTTTCAACAATAGTCTCACACCCCAACTGCCAGCCTTTCAACAATAGCATCACACCCTACCTGCCAGCCTTTCAACAATGGTCTCACACACTACCTGCCAGCCTTTCAACAATAGTCTCACACCCCACCTGCCAGCCTTTCAACAATAGCATCACACCCTACCTGACTGTCAGCCTTTTAACAATAGTCTCACACAATACCTGCCGATCTTTGAAAAACAGACCTACAGACACCCTTAGTGGCCTACAGACAGTCATTCACTCTACCTGCCCAGCCAGCCTTTAAACAAAAGGTCTACAGACTGCCCTAGTGGCCTACAGACTGCCCTAGTGGCCTACAGACTGCCCTAGTGGCCTACAGACTGCTCTAGTGGCCTACAGACTGCCCTAGTGGCCTACAGACTGCCCTAGTGGCCTACAGACTCCCCTAGTGGCCTACAGACTGCCGTATTGGCCTACTGACTGCCGTATTGGCCTACAGACTGCCCTATTGGCCTACAGACTGCCCTAGTGGCCTACAGACTGCCCTAGTGGCCTACAGACTGCCCTAGTGGCCTACAGACTGCCCTAGTGGCCTACAGACTGCCCTATTGGCCTACAGACTGCCCTATTGGCCTACAGACTGCCCTAGTGGCCTACAGACTGCCCTAGTGGCATACAGACTGCCCTGGTGGCCTACAGACTGCCCTGGTGGCCTACAGACTGCCCTGGTGGCCTACAGCTTTAAACAAAATGCGTATATCCAGTCCTACGCCCTAACCTATGACATTTAAACAATACGCCTACAGACAGTCCTAAACCCTACCAGCTAACCTTTAAACAATACGCCTACAGACAGTCCTAAACCCTACCAGCTAACCTTTAAACAATACGCCTACAGACAGTCCGACAGGCAGTACTGCACAATACCAGTGGCCTTTCAATGCTTAATACAATAGTTGAGTAAGAGTAAGCGCCCATCGTGGAGAAGGAAACAGCTTTACACAAAGGAAACTATTGATAAGCGATCTCCATCATCGCCACTGTTTGAATTGAAATGGACCGTTACGTCAAAGATCTTCGCTCCGTTCACCATATGGGGGAACAATTATGTGATGTCTACCCTCGGCTATTATTTGACACAAATTATCAATACAGTATTTAATATTTCATTTGAAAATTAAATACATTTAATTAAAACACACATTCCCCATATAGTTCTTCGGTGCGCCCTTGGGTGTCCAAACGCCGCCGACCCTGAAATCTCCCTAGCCTGTCAGCTCCACCCCACTCTCCTGAGCTATCCCACCGCTCACTTTGAGAAACCCTGCTCTGGACTATGGACCAACTGGTACATTATTGTCACATTATTGTCACATTATTGTCACATTATTGTCACATTATTGTCACATTATTGTCACATTATTGTCACATTATTGTCACATTATTTTAACATTATTGTCACATTATTGTCACATTATTGTCACATTATTGTCACATTATTGTCACATTATTGTCACACTATTGTCACATTATTGTCACATTATTTTCACATTATTTTAACATTATTGTCACATTATTTTAACATTATTGTCACATTATTTTAACATTATTGTCACATTATTGTCACATTATTGTCACATTATTTTAACATTATTTTAACATTATTGTCACATTATTGTCACATTATTGTCACATTATTGTCACATTATTGTCACATTATTGTCACATTATTTTAACGTTATTGTCACATTATTTTAACATTATTATCACATTATTGCCACATTATTGTCACATTATTTTAACATTATTGTCACATTATCGTCACATTATTTTAACATTATCGTTTCATTATTGTCGTTTTAACGTTATCTTCTATTTGCATTTTACCAGTGGTTCTAATGCTGTTTGACTCGAGGAGCCCTTTTTAAATCACTCTTTTTAGGGAGTCCCTTAAACCAACCCTATGTTTTACAATACAATGCTTTTTAGGAGTAATGTTACTAGGGGAGGGAGTGGCCGCGGAGCCCCCGGGAACCACTGATTGTAAACCAACCGTCAGACTACCGCCATCGCGCACAGGCCTCTTACCCTACCAGCTTTCTTACCACCCTCACCTTATTACCACTGCAAGCTCCCCATTACCTGGATTATGGGGTCCACGTAATTGTTCAGCCGCTTGACGCTGAATTTTTCAAAGTCGTCGGTGATGGTGGAGAAGTTGAACTGGTTCTTCAGCTTGTACGTCTCCCGGAGCGTCTTCACGAGGTACTCCTCTATCGCCTTCTCCGGCAGTTCGATCTTGGCGTAGCCTTCCTTGAGGTTGACCCTGATGGCCTTGACGTCGAAGTTGCGCACGCCGACACTGTTGAGCAGGGCGAAAATGTTCGTCACCGTCTCGTCCGCCGTCTTATCTTTGTACAAGGGGCTGATGCTGATGCCTACGTCGTCGGTGATTTCAACCGCGTTCGGATCCGGTTCCGATTCGGTAGGAGGAGGCGCGGCCTTTGTATTTTTGTCTAAAACAGATGTGGTGCCCGCTACCGGGGGCCTGAACAGGGGGTTGGATGGTGCAGCGATAGGGGGGTCGGACGATGGACCCGAACGTGCTGGTTGTCCCCAGGCTCCCTGGGGTGCCGGTTGTCCCCAGGCTCCCTTGGGTGCCGTTGGTTTGGCACCCGCTGGCGGTGGCCCTGACATTGTGGCTTCTATCGGTTGTCGTTGAGCTAAGGCCCGGCGGGCGGGGGGGGAGGGGGTTGGTGGGACGGCAAACTTTCCTTTCGACCAAATCTTTTCAAAGCGGCTAGGCAGCGTGGCCTGCCATTTGCTTTCTTGTGTGGATGTCCTACGTATATCCGTTCCCAATATGTGCAGTAAAGTGCGGAAGTACAGGACAAGTGTGACGCAAACTTAAATAACAAATGTTGTTGTTTTTTTTGGTCTTTTTTTTTTTAAATACTCGTACTGTATGAGCATAGATTTGTTAAGGTATGGGGAGAGAAAAAAATATCGTATTCTACTGACAGAAGACGTGTACGATTACGCAAGGAATAGACACGATTACTTTGTTTGACTTAGACTTTATGCTAACCGCATCAACGTATTCAGCTGAAGGGAATTCATCCCAACAACAAGAGCACTCTTTTAAACTCATGTCAACCGGAAGTACCTTCATAAAATTAAGGCAAATGGCGGGTATTGGCGCCCGACCGCTTTGTAGATGAAAATCAAACCACTTCTTCTTCATACACAAGCTTAAAATGACCGAGAAACTTGAGCAGGCTCCCCGTGGCATCATCATTCGGCCGCTCTACCACAATAAAAAAGATGAAGACATGGTTCAACACATCCTGTGTCTGCTCAACAGTGTGGGCGTGCGCAATCTCGACATTAGGTTCATTCGGATCTTTGCCCGCAGCGGGTGCGCAAAAGTCGGGCTGCGCAGCAAAGATGTGGAGGACTACGCCGTGAAAGTTTTGAAGGAGGTGAAAAGTCTGATGAGTTTGTACGACCTCCGGCTACTCACCGATCGACCGAAGTGGCTGAAGGTGGACCGGATGGCCTCTTTCAAGATCGTGCCAGTGGGTACAGTAAGTATACCGTCGGTACAGGGTAACAATACCTACATAATTAGTGATAAGGTTGGCTGATTACCAAAGTGTCGTGGCAGAGTAGGCACAGAAAGGACACAGGGCTCTGTGGAGTGCAGTGGCAGAGTAGGCACAGAAATGACACAGGGCTCTGTGGAGTGCAGTGGCAGAGCAGGCACAGAAAGGACACAGAGCTCTGTGGAGTGCAGTCCTTTGGATGTATATTGATTTAAACATGGTCATCTACATCGTGACCGACTCTCCATTCTGTAAGCTTCGATCGCACCGCTGATCACTACCGTTGTCCTTTTGAATTGGATGTCAGACTTTTGGTTCACATCGACGGCATGGTCAATAAAGTAGATGTTAAATAGAGATAGAAAGAGAGAGAGAGAGAGAAAGATAGAAAGAGAAAGATAAGTCGGTGACCATTCTGTCAAAGTGATAAGTCGTTGACCAATCTGTCAAAGTGATAAGTCGGTGACCAATCTGTCAAAGTGATAAGTCGGTGACCAATCTGTCAAAGTCATAAGTCGGTGACCAATCTGTCTAAGTCATAAGTCGGTGACCAATCTGTCAAAGTGATAAGTCGGTGACCAATCTGTCAAAGTGATGAGTCGGTGACCAATCTGTCAAAGTGATAAGTCGGTGACCAATCTGTCAAAGTGATAAGTCGGTGACCAATCTGTCAAAGTGATAAGTCGGTGACCAATCTGTCAAAGTGATGAGTCGGTGACCAATCCATCGATGGAATGAAAAGACTTACTCTCTAACATTGCCTCGTTTTCTGGGATTAAATCAAGGGACACATTCAAGTAAGAAGTAAGAGCCAGAAAAAAAAAAGTCAAATGAGAAATTTTTTTAATGAACAAATTGTGAACAACAAATTAAATTTTAAAAACAACAACAAAAGCAACAACAGGGAAAGCATAGATGCTTTCATTTTTATTCAATAATCAACTTTGCATAAACATTAACAGGTTTATCTCCCCTTGTCAATGTATATTTTCAGACAACTACACCTCAAGTAATCGTTTCAAATTCTCAGCCTAGGGCATGGGCCCAAAAGTCAACCGGAGCGATGCAGCGTGATGGCCAGCCATCCACTTCAACAGAAACCATCGACCGCATGTCAACCGAGACCAGCTTCAGCTCCCACCAGGAGCCGTCTCTGAGGCCCGCGGTGCTCACCGCAGCAACATCGACACCCTCGCTTCCGCCGTGCGGCTGCCCCGAGACGGTGTTCTACTTCGTCAACCAGACGATAGGGCCGCGCACTCGGCAGAACGCCTTCGTCCCGGCCAAAGGTTTCGACAGCCTTCCGCAGCGGGTTCAGAATCTTCTCGGCCGTCACTTGTGCGGCTTCCTGAACTCCGAGGGCGGCGTCCTGTACATCGGCGTGCAGGACTACGGGGTGGTCGAGGGCGTGGACATGGGCGGAAGTCTCGAGAAGCAGCTGCTGGAAAATGTCGCCGCCGCCGCGGACAATATCGAGCCCCGGGTCTTCCCGGATGAGTATTCGGTGAACTTTGCCAAGGTCAAGGACGAGAACGGAAACACCCTCCAGAACAAGAAAGTGGTTGAGGTGTGCGTCAAGCCCCGGCGTCCCGCAGAGGGGGTCTACGCTTACAAACGGAGGATCTACATGCAGCGGGACTGCAGCTTGGATTTCCTGGGCGTGGTCGGCTCGTGTCTTAACGGAGTCCCGTGATGCAAAAAAAAAGTAAAACCTGTAAACCTTACGATTAACGACGACCGGCTTTCTGATGTCTCAGAGTCTGTAATCCACCCGAGACATCCGTTGGACGTCAATAGAGCTACCCCCCTCCCAAAGGAAGTGAGCTGAACAATGCTTTACATTTTGACAAACATAATCTTTTTGTTGTTTTGTTTACTCTTACGTTTCAATTCAAAAAGAATTAATATTGGGTTATAACTTATAACTCTCCAGCCGTTGTTATCTTATAACTCTCCAGCCGTTGTTATCTTACAGCTCTCCAGCCATTGTTGTCTTACAACTCTCCAGCCGTTGTTGTCTTACAGCTCTCAAGCCGTTGTCTTACAGCTCTCGAGCCGTTGTTGTCTTACAACTCTCCAGCCGTTGTTGTCTTACAACTCTCCAGCCTTTGTTGTCTTACAACTCTCAAGCCTTTGTTGTCTTACAACTCTCCAGCCGTTGTTGTCTTACAACTATCCAGCCTTTGTTGTCTTACAACTCTCCAGCCGTTGTTGTCTTACAGCTCTCCAGCCTTTGTTGTCTTACAACTCTCAAGCCTTTGTTGTCTTACAACTCTCCAGCCTTTGTTGTCTTACAACTCTCCAGCCGTTGTTGTCTTACAGCTCTCCAGCCTTTGTTGTCTTACAACTCTCCAGCCTTTGTTGTCTTACAACTCTCAAGCCTTTGTTGTCTTACAACTCTCCAGCCGTTGTTGTCTTACAACTCTCAAGCCTTTGTTGTCTTACAACTCTCCAGCCGTTGTTGTCTTACAACTCTCCAGCCGTTGTTGTCTTACAACTCTCCAGCCATTGTTGTCTTACAACTCTCCAGCCGTTGTTGTCTTACAGCTCTCAAGCCGTTGTCTTACAGCTCTCGAGCCGTTGTTGTCTTACAACTCTCCAGCCGTTGTTGTCTTACAACTCTCCAGCATTTGTTGTCTTACAACTCTCCAGCCGTTGTTGTCTTACAACTCTCGAGCCGTTGTTGTCTTACAACTCTCGAGCCGTTGTTGTCTTACAACTCTCCAGCCTTTGTTGTCTTACAACTCTCCAGCCTTTGTTGTCTTACAACTCTCGAGCCGTTGTTGTCTTACAACTCTTAAGCCGTTGTTGTCTTATAACTCTCCAGCCTTTGTTGTCTTACAACTCTCCAGCCGTTGTTGTCTTATAACTCTCCAGCCTTTGTTGTCTTACAACTCTCCAGCCTTTGTTGTCTTACAACTCTCCAGCCGTTGTTGTCTTACAACTCTCCAGCCTTTGTTGTCTTACAGCTCTCCAGCCGTTGTTGTCTTACAGCTCTCCAGCCGTTGTTGTCTTACAACTCTCCAGCCTTTGTTGTCTTACAGCTCTGGAGCCGTTGTTGTCTTACAACTCTCCAGCCGTTGTTGTCTTACAACTCTCCAGCCGTTGTTGTCTTACAACTCTCCAGCCGTTGTTGTCTTACAACTCTCCAGCCGTTGTTGTCTTACAACTCTCCAGCCTTTGTTGTCTTACAACTCTCCAGCCTTTGCTGTCTTACCACTCTATTTGTTGTCTTACAGCTCTCCGGCCTTTGTTGTCTTACAGCTCTCCAGCCGGTGTTGTCTTACAACTCTCCAGCCTTTGTTGTCTTACAGCTCTGCAGCCGTTGTTGTCTTACAACTCTCCAGCCGTTGTTGTCTTACAACTCTCCAGCCGTTGTTGTCTTATAACTCTCCAGCCTTTGTTGTCTTACAACTCTCCAGCCTTTGTTGTCTAACAACTCTCGAGCCGTTGTTGTCTTACAACTCTCCAGCCTTTGTTGTCTTACAGCTCTGGAGCCGTTGTTGTCTTACAACTCTCCAGCCATTGTTGTCTTACAACTCTCGAGGCGTTGTTGTCTTACAACTCTCCAGCCTTTGTTGTCTTACAGCTCTGGAGCCGTTGTTGTCTTACAACTCTCCAGCCGTTGTTGTCTTACAACTCTCGAGCCGTTGTTGTCTTACAACTCTCCAGCCGTTGTTGTCTTACAGCTCTGGAGCCGTTGTTGTCTTACAACTGTCAAGCCGTTGTTGTCTTACAACTTTCAAGCCGTTGTTGTCTTACAACTCTCCAGCCTTTGTTGTCTTACAGCTCTCGAGCCGTTGTTGTCTTACAACTCTCCAGCCGTTGTTGTCTTACAACTCTCCAGCCTTTGTTGTCTTATAACTCTCCAGCCTTTGTTGTCTTACAACTCTCAAGCCTTTGTTGTCTTACAACTCTCCAGCCTTTGTTGTCTTACAACTCTCCAGCCTTTGTTGTCTTACAACTCTCCAGCCTTTGTTGTCTTATAACTCTCCAGCCTTTGTTGTCTTACAACTCTCCAGCCTTTGTTGTCTTATAACTCTCCAGCCTTTGTTGTCTTACAACTCTCCAGCCTTTGTTGTCTTATAACTCTCGAGCCGTTGTTGTCTTACAACTCTCCAGCCTTTGTTGTCTTACAACTCTCCAGCCTTTGTTGTCTTACAACTCTCCAGCCTTTGTTGTCTTACAACTCTCCAGCCTTTGTTGTCTTACAACTCTCCAGCCTTTGTTGTCTTACAACTCTCCAGCCTTTGTTGTCTTACAACTCTCCAGCCTTTGTTGTCTTACAACTCTCCAGCCGTTGTTGTCTTACAGCTCTCGAGCCGTTGTTGTCTTACAACTCTCCAGCCGTTGTTGTCTTACAACTCTCCAGCCTTTGTTGTCTTACAACTCTCCAGCCGTTGTTGTCTTACAACTCTCCAGCCGTTGTTGTCTTACAACTCTCCAGCCTTTGTTGTCTTACAACTCTCCAGCCTTTGCTGGTGTGTTATTGTTGTTGTCTTGTTCAATATATAAGAAAAGGTGATCACAATTCGTGTGTAGCTGCAGGTCAAAGATGCGCCGAGTTATAATTAGCGTGGCGCTTTGAAGGAAAGCCGCAACATGACTCCCGGCGGGCCGCATGTTGACCACCCCTGTGCTAAAGTGGGAGAACTTGGCCTCACAGATCACAAAGTTATGTCTAAAAAATAATAACAAAGGCAGCCATGTTGAAACATTTTCATCATTTAATTCGTAACAAAAAAATTAGTCAAGAACAATAACAATGAAATTCTCCAATTTCAGGCAAAATTTTCTTTGTTTCCTATAGGCTACGTCTTTGGTTGTCAGTTTTAGTGTCTAGCGTCAAGGCCATCATGAACAGTTAATGGGTAGCAATAGACTGTCAAATGTTGTTAATTATTATTAGTCTTTCTTGGTAGCCCCACTAATAAATGCATTCACATGATAGCCGGGCCGGATTATTTAGATGGAATTGAGCTGTGAGCGAGGGCCAACGAGGTTCAACGGGCTCCGGAAATTAGTGACACACCCAAGAAATCATGTTTTGACTTTAAAGATGTCAGCTATCATTCCACACGTCCTTTCCCGGTGTGAGCGAAATCCCCCCAAAACTTTACGACAAAATCCATTGAACATTTTATTAAAGTTCTGGGTGCTTGACAACTGAGGACCTCGTATTCGACTAAACTGGGGGTGGGGGTGGGGCTAGATAAAATATTTGACCAAAGTAAATGTCAAAACATTAGGATAAAAGTTCACTACAGATGTCAGTATATGAACGATCCACGCCATGATGAACATTTCTAGAGAAAGGGCTGTGCTGTAGCTGTGAAGGCTGCACGTGTCGTCCCGCCTCCAGCCTCCAAACAAAAAAAAATGCATATTCTTCAATTCACAAAATAATCCTGAATGCTGGCCAGAACTTCCATTCGTCTCCTATCAAAGTATGCTGAGAAATTGTGTATCTTGTGATAAGTCTACAATATGTTTATTGAATAATTTGTTTCAATGTTACCTGAGGCGGTATGCATTTTCCATAGTGCTGTTAATACCCTGAATCCTAACACACTCAACCGACACACCTATTACCCTCAACCCTAACCCACCCACCCCGAGATGCCCTAGACATTCAACCCTAACCCACTCACCCCAAGATACCTTATACCCCTAACCTTAACAAACTCTACCCAAGATACCTTATACACCCAACCCTAACCTACTCACCCAGAGATACCTTATACACCCAACCCTAACCCACTCACCCCATGTACCTTTTACACACAACCCTCAAACACTCGTCCCGAGATACCCTATACACACAACCCTAATCCACTCAACCTAGATATCTTATACCCTCACCCCTAACCAATCATCTCATGATACCTTATACACCCAACCCTAACCCACTCAACCTAGATACCTTATACCATCAACTCTAATCCAGTCATCACAAGATACCTTATACACACAACCCTACCCCACTCAACTTGGATACCTTATATCCTCAACCCTAACCCAGTCACACCGAGATACCTTATACACTTAACACTTACCCACTCACCCCGAGACGCTCTATACCCCCAACCCTAACGTCTTCACCCCGAGATACCCTATACCCTGAACCCTAAGCCACTCACCCTAGATACCTTATACACCCAACCAAAATACACTCACCCCGAGATACCTTATACACACAACCCTAAGCCACTTACCCCGACATACCTTATACACCAAACCCTAACCCACTCAATCTAGATACCTTATACCCTCAACCCTAACCCAGTCAACCCAAGATACCTTATACCCTTAACCCTAACCCACTAACCCTGAGACACCTTATACACCCAACCCTAACCCACTCACCCCAAGATACCTTATACACACAACACTAAACCACTCGTCCCGAGAAACCCTATACACACAACCATAACCCACTCTACCTAGATATCTCATACCCTCAACCCTAACCCAGTCATCTCATGATACCTTATACACCCAACCCTAACCCACTCACCCTATACCCTGAACTCTAAGCCACTCACCCTAGATACCTTATACACCCAACCCTAATACACTCACCCCGAGATACCTTATACACACAACCCTAAGCCACTCACCCCGACATACCTTATACACCAAACCCTAACCCACTCAATCTAGATACCTTATACCCTCAACCCTAACCCAGTCAACCCAAGATACCTTATACCCTTAACCCTAACCCACTAACCCTGAGACACCTTATACACCCAACCCTTACCCACTCACCCCAAGATACCTTATACACACAACACTAAACCACTCGTCCCGAGAAACTCTATACACACAACCATAACCCACTCTACCTAGATATCTCATACCCTCAACCCTAACCCAGTCATCCCAAGATACCTTATACACCCAACCCTAACCCACTCACCCTAGATACCTTGTAACCCCAACCCTAATCCACTCAAAACCAAGATACCTCATGCACACAACCCTATCCCACTCACCCCGATATACCTTATACACCCAACCCTAACCCATTCACCCCGACATATCTTATACACAAAACCCTAACCCACTCACCCTAGATACCTTATACCCTCAACCCTAATCCAGTCGACCCAAGATACCTAATACACACAACCCTACCCCACTCAACCTAGATACCTTATATCCTCAACCCTGACCCAGTCAACCCGAGATACCTTACACACCCAACCCTAACCCACTCACCCTAGATTCATTATACCCCCAGAGCTAACCAAATAACCCCGTGATACCTTATACACCCAACCCTAACCGCCTCACCCCAAGATACCTTATAGACACAACCCTAATCCAGTGAACCCAAGATACCTTATACACACAACCCTCACCCACTCACCCTGAGATCCCTTATACACTTAACTCTAACCCAACTCACTCCGAGGCGCCCTATACCCCAACCCTAACATCTTCACCCCGAGATGCCCAAACCCTGAACCCTAAGCCACTCACCTTAGATACCTTATACACTCAACCCTAACCCATTCACCCCGAGTTACCTTATACAACCAACCCTAACCCACTCAACCCGAGATACCCTATACCCTCAACCCTAAGCCACTCACCCATATATACCTTATACCCTTAACCCTAACGCACTCACCCTAGATACTTTATACCCTCAATCCTAACCATTTCACCCTAGATACCTTATTCCCTCAACCCTGACCCACTCACCCCAAGATACTGTATACACTCAACCCTAACCCCTTCACCCTTCACCCTTCGATACTCTATACTCCAACCCTAACCCACTCAACCTAGATACCCTATACCCTCAACCCTAAGCCACTCACCCCAATACCTTATACACTCAACCATAACCCACTCACCCCAAGATACCTTATAAACCCAACCCTAGCCCACTCACCCCAAGATGCCCTATACCCTCAACCTTAAGTCACTTACCCTAGATACCCCCAACACTAACCTACTCACCCTGAAATACCCCTATACACTCAACCCTAAACCACTCACCCACCCTATATACTCCCAACCCTAAGTTATTCACCCCGAGTAACCATATAACCTTAACCCTAACTCACTCACCCTAGATACCTAAAACATTAACTGTCGGCTGTTACTGTTATACACAAACTAAAAAATGTCAATGCAGTAAAAATGAAATTAAAAATAATAATGTCATAATAATAACGCAACAATTTTAGCAATCAACATGTCTTCAGTCAGACTTTTAAGAAAATGTAGTTAAATTTATTTGACAGATTTGGAGATTACTTTCAAATGTTCTACCATAAATGTTCTATCACAGATCTACTACTCTAAATCTCATCACAAATGTTCTCACACAAATGTCCCATCACAAATATTATACTACAATTGTCCCATCACAAATGTTTCACTTCAAATGTCCCATCACAAATGTTCCACTTCAAATGTCCCATCACAAATGTTCCACTTCAAATGTCCCATCACAAATGTTCCATCACAAATGTTCCATCAAATATGTTCTACCACAAATGTTCCCATCACAAATTTTAACCACCCAAAATTCTTTAAAAATATCCCATCAGAAATTTAATGTTCCATTCTAAATGCTTCATCGCAAACGTTTTTTTCCCAAACATTCCATTATAATATAAATGCACCAGCACAAATGTTTAAATACAATAAATGTTCCAACATATATGTTCAATCACAAATGTTTCATCGCAAATATTTAATCACAAATGTTCCACCCCAAATGTTCTATCACTCATGTTCTATCACAAATGTTCCACCCCAAATGTTCTATCACTCATGTTCTATCCCTCATGTTCTATCACAAATGTTCTATCACAAATGTTCTATCACAAATGTTCCACCCCAAATGTTCTATCACTCATGTTCTATCCCTCATGTTCTATCACAAATGTTCTATCACTCATGTTCTATCACAAATGTTCTATCACTCATGTTCTATCACAAATGTTTCCCATTGGGCAAGCTGACGATGTTTTCCTCCAGCATGGGAACAACTCTGTTTGGTTTGGTCGGGAACACACAGATGATGAGACCCAAGATGGCGACAATGCAAGCAAAGATGCTGAATCCTATGAGACCACCACAAGACACGGTCATCAGACGAGTGATCTGAAAAAATAAGAAACAGGTTGCAGGTCAAATTTTGGTCCAGCACAGGTCAAATGCTGGTCAAGTTAAGGTCAAATGTTGGTCCACTACAGGTCAAATGTTGGTACAGTACAGGTCAAATGCTGGTCCAGTTCAGATCAAATGCTGGTCCAGTTCAGGTCAAATGTTGGTCCACTACAAGTAAAAAGTTGGTATAGTACAGGTCAAATGTTTGTACAGTACATGTCAAATGCTGGTCCAGTTCAGGTCAAATGTTGGTCAAGTACAGGTCAATGTTGGTACAGTACAGGTCAAATATTGTTCCAGTACATGTCAAATGTTGTTTGTCCAGGGCAAGTCAAAGCTTGGTCCATTACGGTCAAATGTTGATTCAGCACATAAAAATGTTGGTTCAGTACATATCAGAGTCTGGCCATGTATCTTCAAGGTTAGCAAAAATGTTATAGCTTGTAACAAAATTAAGATCTAAAGATGATATTTTGACATCCAAGAGTCGTGTTCTAAAGATGCTATGTTCACCCCTACACAGAGTCGTGTTCTAAAGATGATTTGTTCACCCCAACCCAGAGTCGGGTGCTAAAGATGATTTGTTCACCCCAACCCAGAGTCGTGTTCTAAAGATGATTTGTTCACCCCTACCCGGAGTCATGTTCTAAAGATGATTTTTTCGACCCTACTACCCAGAGTCGTGTTCTAAAGATGATTTGTTCCCCTCAATTACCCAGAGTCGTGTTCTAAAGATGAGACCCGGACCTTGATGCATCAGTATACTATTTTATGTGCATGCATCAGCATACTATGTTCTAGGCGTGCTTCCATGCACTCGAGATTTGTGCAAGTGCGCAATGTAAAGCAATTAAGTTTGTTTGAATGTGCACGGTCAATAATTTAATTGTTTATTACATGAACTCTCATTGACTAAATCAAAACGGAAGTGCGTATTTTTTTTTTTTAAAGTCAATTAAAAAAGTGAAAGCATTTGGCGGAAATGTCCATCTGCCGCTTGGAAACAATTAATTTAGGAATATAGATCTAAACAAAGTTCAAGAATCGTGAAATTAGAGAGAGTCTTTTTTTTTTAAATATTTAAAAATGGATTCACCCATAGTGGTGACTGGTTTTGAGGAACCTAAGAAAATTACTGGATTGTCCCGAATACATCCAGTGCTAGTTAAAGAGGTCATGGGTCTGTTCATCAGGCCTCTCTTCACATCTCACGTCATCTCAGAGGACGAGATGGTGACACGCCTGCTGGCCCTGCTCGATGCCGTAGGCATGCGCAGCGTCGACATCACCTTCATCAGGATAAACAGCAAAGGCGCATGCGCCAAGGTCGGGCTGAGCAGCGTCGTGGCCGAGGACTACGCCATACAGACCCAGATGGACAGGAACTACCTTCAGCATCTCTACGACCTTTCACAGATAACGGACTGCGTCGACCTGCTGCGCATCGACAGGCTGGAAAAATTCATCCACCTCGAGGTAGGTAGTCAAACGATAAAAGTATGGTTAGCTGTTGCCATGACAATATCACTGTAGGTAGTCAAACGATAAAAGTATGGTTAGCTGTTGGCACGACAATATCACTGTAGGTAGTCAAACGATAAAAGTATGGTTAGCTGTTGCCATGACAATATCACTGTAGGTAGTCAAACAATAAAATTATGGTTAGCTGTTGCCATGACAATATCACTGTAGGTAGTCAAACAATAAAATTATGGTTAGCTGTTGCCACGACAATATCACTGTAGGTAGTCAAACGATAAAAGTATGGTTAGCTGTTGCCATGACAATATCACTGTAGGTAGTCAAACAATAAAATTATGGTTAGCTGTTGCCATGACAATATCACTGTAGGTAGACAAACAATAAAATTATGGTTAGCTGTTGCCACGACAATATCACTGTAGGTAGTCAAACAATAAAATTATGGTTAGCTGTTGCCATGACAATACCACTGTAGGTAGACAAACAATAAAATTATGGTTAGCTGTTGCCACGACAATATCACTGTAGGTAGTCAACAATAAAATGGGATTGTTTGCTGTTGCCATGACGATATCACTCGAACACTAACCCACAAGTAAATGAATCTAAATTGTTCAGTTTTTTAGTGAAACAATTTGGAGGAAAATCATAGGAAAAGAGAGGAATAAGTATAGGATAAACCGGTTCTTAGCCTTCGTATAAATTGAGAGAAAGCGCATGGATTGATTCATCCAATGGTGAAGCCTTTATCCAATAGTTACGGACCGACCGCAATATGTCATCATAAAAACCGGAAGTTACCGATGTCTATTTCCGTTCAGCAGTTCGCTCCCCCTCCCTCCCCTCCGCCCCCAACGGTATATAAAGCCCCCCCCCCGACGCCCCACCTTTCTACGCCAAGTTCTCAGAACCTACCGAGCCTTTTAGCGCGCCATAAAAATCCCGAAACTCACAGAGGGGGAGGGGTGGAGTTATCTTTCCTTTTAAGACTTAGAGGTTTCAATGTTCTAAAAATACCACCTTGAAATTTTATTAGCAATGTTATTTCCTTCAATATATTGTTCAGAGATAATTTTAAAAATAAATTAGAATGTTAACGTACGTCCTTGTTGTATGTTAAAATAAATTCCTTTATTGCTTTTTTGATTGACCATCCCCAGTGGCTCGTCTTACTCGCCTCCAATTTTGAACACTAAAGAAATAAACCTAGTATTATAATCACTACAAGCTCACTGGGGGCTGAATTACAACCCCACCCCCCCCCCCCCCCCCCCCCCCNGATTCATCCAATGGTGAAGCCTTTATCCAATAGTTACCGCCCGACCGCAATATGTCATCATAAAAACCGGAAGTTACCGATGTCTATTTCCGTTCAGCAGTTCGCTCCCCCTCCCCCCCCTCCGCCCCCAACGGTATATAAAGCCCCCCCCCCGACGCCCCACCTTTCTACGCCAAGTTCTCAGAACCTACCGAGCCTTTTAGCGCGCCATAAAAATCCCGAAACTCACAGAGGGGGAGGGGTGGAGTTATCTTTCCTTTTAAGACTTAGAGGTTTCAATGTTCTAAAAATACCACCTTGAAATTTTATTAGCAATGTTATTTCCTTCAATATATTGTTCAGAGATAATTTTAAAAATAAATTAGAATGTTAACGTACGTCCTTGTTGTATGTTAAAATAAATTCCTTTATTGCTTTTTTGATTGACCATCCCCAGTGGCTCGTCTTACTCGCCTCCAATTTTGAACACTAAAGAAAAAAACCTAGTATTATAATCCCTACAAGCCCACTGGGGGCTGAATTACAACCCCACCCCCCCCCCCCGCCCCACACACTTTTCCCCTAAGGTCCCCTCAGGCCCGTTCTTAGGGATACTCTGACTACGCATCCGCGTAGGGCCCCGAACGTGAGGGGGCCCCCGTGAGGCGCCCTCGATCCCCCGATTTTTTTTAAACTAGCACTGCAGCCGTCTGTATCACTCACGTTACCTTCCTCATCCTGAAATGTATCATTCTGAGTTGAATTCCAAGGCAGGGGAAGGGAAGCGGGGGAGCTTTGTGGAAATAAGTACCACCAGAGCCATTCTTAGGCATATAGGCAAACTAGGCAACCGCCTAGGGCCCCACTATCTCCTGCATGTCCTCATATTTCAGAAGTACACATTTTCTCTAGTGGCGGAATTATCAATATGGTTAGTGGTTACACGGGAGCAAAGAGGAAACATTGATGAAGGCAGAATGAAGGTGCAGCAGTGGTGGGTGGTGTTTTCTTCTCAGCTCAAGGGAGCTCCACCCCGGACCCCCCCCCCTTTCCGGGGCTACCAACCTACGCTCCATGCTTAGGGCCCCCAAACTCCTAAGAACGGCTCTGGTCCCCTCGAAAATCAGAAAAGCCCACAAACTAAAAAGAATGTTCACTCCAAGTCAGGACGTGTCACGTGATCAGCAGTTGCAGCTTTCTCACCTCTTCTCTTTTTTTTTCCAGGCCAGCGACATTAAGCCGAAAAAGTGCGCCACGCCCCCAGAATGCCACGAACCCCGTTCCCCCACAAAAATGACGACGCCCCGCCCACCTCGGGTGCACTTGGTCAAAAAAACGTCCACCCCTAAGATTCATCCGTGCGGCTGCCCCCAGACTCCCCACTACATCCTCGGGGAAGGCCTGGGCTCCGAGAACAGGCACTTCATCTACCTGTGGATGGAGACTTCATGGCGGGACTTGGAAGGCTTCTCGGAGGACGTGGGCGTGAACGTCTGTGGGTTCCTCAACTCGGGGGGTGGCGTCATGTGCGTGGGCGTGGAAGGGTACGGCAAAGTCTCCGGGACGCTCTTCAGCGAGCAGCAACAGCGCCAGGTGTCCGGCTGGATGTCGGAAGTGGTCAAGCGCATCAAGCCGGGTATCGGCGAGGACGAATACTCGCTGAGATTCGTCAGCGTCTTCGAGCTAACCGCCGAGCAGGGGGAGAAGGGGAAAGGCGGCGCGCCCGGGGCGAAGCAAGCGGCCGGGTCGAGGCAGGCACCGGGGGCGAAGCAGGCGCCCCCGAGCGGCGCCGAGTTCGAGCGGAGGGACACCGGGAGGCGTGTCCTAGAGATTTGCGTGAAGCCGTCAGAGCCGGTGACGTACCCAGAGAACCTGTACTCGTACTGCGACAAGCTGTACTTGAGGCGGGACGGCTCCACCATGGAGATCAAGCCAGAGACAACGGAGATGGTGTGTAAGAGAAAAAAGAAATAGCGACGGCGATGAAGGTTTTATTTTGGGAGTGTTGGAAGGGAGCGAACCCAATTTTGTAGGCGTTTTTTTAATACCTAAAGAACTCTCGTCCCGAACTTAAGAACCATTTGTTGGTATTATTTTTTTTTTAAATGAGAAAAATAGAACAATGATATTAAAAATGCAAAATGAACAAATTATGAATCAGAGTTATTTTGCTCTCTCTCTCTCTCTCTCTCTCTCACTCTCTCTCTCTCTCTCTCTCTCTCTCTCTCTCTCTCTCTCTCTTTTTTCTCATCTCTTTTCTCTTATATTTTCTCATATCTCTTCTCTTTTATATTTTCTCTTTTCTTTTTTAGAACTTAAGAAACATTTGTTGGTATTATTTTTTTTTAAATGAGAAAAATAGAACAATGATATTAAAAATGCAAAATAAACAAATTATGAATCAGAGTTATTTTGCTCTCTCTCTCTCTCTCTCTCTCACTCTCTCTCTCTCTCTCTCTCTCTCTCTCTCTCTCTCTCTCTCTATTTTCTCATATCTTTTCTCTCATATATTCTCACATATCTTTTCTCTGATATATTCTCTCATATCTTTTCTCTTATATATTCTATATCTTTTCTCCCAGTTATTCTCTCATATCTTTTCTCTCATATATTCTCTCATATCTTTTCTCTGATATATTATCTCATATCTTTTCTCTGATATATTCTGTCATATCTATTCTCCCATTTATTCGCTCATATCTTTTATCCTATATATTCCCTCATATCTTTCCTCTCATTTATTCTCTCATATCGTTTCTCTCATATCTTTTCTCTCATATATTCTCTCATATCTTTTCTCTCACAAGTTCTCTCTTATCTTTTCTCTCATATCTTTTCTCTCATATATTCTCTCATATCTTTTCTCTCACAAGTTCTCTCTTATCTTTTCTCTCATATCTTTTCTCTCATATATTCTCTCATAAAATTTTCTCTCATTTATTCGCTAATATCTTTTCTCTCATATATCCCCTCAAATCTTTTCTTTCATATTTTCTCTCATACCTTTTCTCTCATTTACTCTTTCATATCATTTCTCTCATATATTCTCTCATTTTTGCTCACATATATTCTCTCATTTTTTCTCCCATATATTCTCTCATATTTTTTTTTTACATATTCTTGTTGAGATATTTTTGTTGTGATTTTTAAAAAAATAGATTTGGGAATATCCTAAATTACCTACTGTACCATCATTTTAAAATGATAAAAATGGGGGAGATACTGCATCAGTTTAGGTAGAAGGAAATATGTGATACAAGGTATGGCAAAACCTGAAATAAAAAGACGTAATAAAACAAAGAACGCTTCGGCAAGAAGCCTTCTTCGGGAACAGACAACGAGTAACACAAATATAAAAACTACAGTAAACACTTGGCGGAAATGATGTATCCCAGAGGACAGCAACAGGGATGGGATAGGCCAGAGGACAGCAACAGGAATGGGATAGACCAGAGGACAGCAACAGGAATGGGATAGACCAGAGGACAGCAACAGGAATGGGATAGACCAGAGGACAACAACAGGAATGGGATAGACCAGAGGACAGCAACAGGAATGGGATAGACCAGAGGACAGCAACAGGAATGTGATAGACCATTACTATGTAAGAGAGTCAATAAAGGCAATAGGGGACGGAAGAGAGGAATAGTAAGTACACAGCGATGTATTGTAAAAAGAGGAAGGGGCGGAGAAACGATTTAACACGTGAAGGAGAACATGACATTCATGCAATGTGGTGTCGGATCCAAGAGGTGTGTATCAGTTTGTTTTCTAAGTTCCCCATGGTAGGGGTGTAACAATGGCGGTGATTGCCAAGTCGCTGGAGCCTGTCAAAGTCCTGTTTGTACCAGATTGGTTAATTCGTCAATTTCTTTCACACGATGTAATACGTCGTACTAGCACTGAATCAACTCAGGTCCTTTATCATAATAAATGAAACTTAAATATCTATTTACACACACAGGCTGTAAATTCCATAAACGCATGCGTATAGCGCAGCTCGATATCAGGGAGGAATAAAACACAACCTCCGGTCACAAAGTTCTTTTCAAGACTGCCAGACGAATAAAATGCACGTCACAAAACAGACTAGACAATGCGTCATAATAAGCATAAAAATACACCACAAAGTCAAGCTCTGGAAGAGCGTTCACTAACTAATTAATCTCTCAAACACACACCGCGCGTAATGAAACATAACATCCAGTCGCAACAATTATTAATGAACTCCCCATACTGAACAGAGCCCTTGTTTTCGCTTCCAATCAAGTGTTGTTTATTTTTAGATATGACACTGCTTATCTGTGCGCAATATTTCCAAGGTGCCATGTTTTCCTTTAAAGAAAGTTAATTTTGCTTTACATTTCATTTTGGATCATCATGGGGAGACAACACGTTATATAGATTCGGTGGTAAGAAGTTCTTATAATAACATACATTGCTGCAAGCATAAATGAATGCTAGAAGTAACCCGTTACAAAATCAGGGAAAGATGCGATTCCAAACAATGTATGACACTAAGAAGACGCAATTTAAACAATGGTGGGAGACGAGAGGGGCTGTCCGTCATACCCATGGGAACCACTTTATCCGGGTTAACATTATTCGATCCACTTTTTTTTTTTATTATACATGTATGGCTTATGGAACTATTGGAACTTATTAGAGTACATTTTGCTATGGACTGAACATACTAGTGCCACAATGGAAAGCCAAAACAAAAAAAACAAAAGAAGAAGTGCATACAAGCCGATTAATTAATTTTAACAAATCGACCACAATATGTCAAAGTAAATAACCAAGTATCTCTAACCAAACAAATAAGCACCGGGACACCACAAGGCTGCGTTCTCTCTCCCCTGTACTGTGTACCCCATATATACAAATGATATTCAAAGCTCAAGCGACACCGTTCCAATCTTAAAATTTGCTGACGATACCACCATTGTTGATTACATATCTGTAGGAGAAGGCATATACCATGTTCCCCAATCTGTACGAATTTACCGGCATGCTTCCTCTGAAGTCACACATCTGAATGAGAACTAATAAGTCCCCGATTTTGCTAAGAGAACTCACTGAATGGCTGTTTGAAATAATTTATTATAAATGTCTTGTGTTCAAAT